ATTTAAAAACAACTGAATGTCCTTAGCAATATCATCATCATGTCGTAGCGCGCTGAGCATGCACTAGTGCCTGAATACAGGCACTGTATAAATGTCCACTATTATCATTATTATTATTATAATTGAAACAGTGTTACACATAGTTACAAATATGGCAAAACGAACAAACAAGATGTTGTCTGTAATTATTAGTAAACTTACCTCTGGGTTGTGTTAGCCATTTTCTCTTCACCTGGTGATGTGTTACAGACTATCCTTAAGGTTAAAAATATTTGTTAAAGAAAAAAAGATCATACGTTGATTACCTGTAAGTAAACCGGAAGTACTCGGTTACCTCCCCTGATCTGTTCTACCAATAATCCTCCGGAAGGAACTCTTCATATTTTCCGAACATCCAGATGAGTTCCCGTCTGACTTTGGGAATGACTGATATTTCCGAATTGAGGTCGAGAGAGCGGTACTGGTTGAGCCAGCATTGTACATGTCTAGGATTGAGACGGCCCCACTGAGTAAAGTCCTGCATGGATGTTAGGGATCCTAACACCGACATCCAGGTTCGAATTGAGACAGCCGGGAGGCCTAAGAGGAGAAGGATGCGGTCCTTGATGGTTAGCCAACGACAAGGGTCTGACTTTACGACTTTATTCGAGACACAGGGACGAGCTCTGATTTGGTCGGGTGTACGGGTGTCCAGATAATGAGATAGCCTGCCCCCAACATGAGAGGCCACAATCGGTACGTTGAAGTCCATGATCAAATTCTCGTCCAGGGATATATCCAGGTCGTAAGGTACGAAGGGTGTGATTCCGTGATAGGATGAGTCAAGATCTCCGAGAAAACGAGCGGGAGGCTCGAAAACTCCGTTGACCTCTAGCTCCGGATGGTGCGGAAGTGCTACAACGCTGGGAAGAAGAATGTGGAGGAGCCGGTGAAGATGAAGCTCTATCAAAGGCAGATCGTTGAAAGCGTGGAGGAGGGGGGCTGGAGGAGACAGCTGTCTTCTTGGTCGGAGGGGAGGCCGTGCCGGTCGAGATTGCACAAGCAAGGCAGAAGCAAGTCGTTGATTAAGATTGCGTGACAACTGTGCATCCTGAGATGTGATTGCCTAATTACATTTGCCATTGAAGATAGACGACGAATCCACGAGTTGTTGAAAGAGCTCATCCTTGGAAGAGTCTGGAATATTTCGAACTCCAGACAACAAATGGGTAAGTTCCAGAGCTGTAAGTCTACCCATAATGGATACCTGCGCTTGCGTAACGTCCGCAACGGCTTGGTAGATGATGTCCAAAAATGAGTGTGCCAAAGCCGCCTCGTGGGCAGACATCGCCACCATAGTGTCTTCCTTAACACCTACATAATCGGTAAACACCGGAGGGAGTAGTTGACGGACACCTGCCGCAAACCAGTTAATGTAAGAGAGACAGTCCACAGAGGATCGGGCAGCTTGGTCGAGATCTTTGATTTCACATTGAGATACAGGGACCTTGAGGGACATGGTACGTGAGGCCTTAGGATCGAGGCATACAAAATCTTTGTCCATTCAGGGACGGACGACGGAAAAACGCAATCATGAATCACATAAGACAGCTTGGGAACAACTCTCGGTAAGGATTGATGAAGAGAGGATTTAGCCAAAGTCTCACTAAAAGTGTTAAACGCCGATCGAACCACCGTAGAGTGTGGTAGGGATAGTCTCGGTATGCGTTGAGGTCGCAGAGAACCCGAGGATCCAAGTTCGGCTGGTAAATCCATGTCCACCGTAGCCGTAGGCGGTACTGTACAGGGATTGAGTTGATGGATGAACCCCACTTTCTACGAATAAGACCATCCAGGGACAAAATCGGCAGCCTCTAAGTCCATGGAAGGAACTGTCAAAATGCCTTCATGTACAGTTAATTTGGCATCTGTAATGGGATAGACACCTTGAGGATCAGGCTCAGAGAGATCCGTGAAAATAGGAATGATCGGTGGATTCTCCACATCAATAAGAGCGCCCCGGCCGGCAGGTCTGCAGCTGGAAGACCCATGTCTGAAGGGTTCCCAGCATACGGGGGTGGCGGGACAGGATGGACCGAAGCCGTGGAATCATCCCTGACGCCAGTATGAACCGGACCCACAGATCTTGACCCCATGGTCTCATCTGGGACGGTTGTATGTATAGCCAGCTGTGTCTGTGTTTGTCCCATGGACACTGACAGATCAACAGACTGAGTAGCCGTGGCCATAGGACGAACGCCATGGGGAGCACGGACTACAGATTCAGAGCCAAGGAAAGGTGGAGAAGCCAAACGAGTACTACTACTAGTTAAGGAACGTTAAATTTCCGTCATCTTGGACATGATTCGCTGGTCCAAATCTTTTAAGGCTGATCCAAAAGAAGAACTGAGGTCATCCTTGAGGGAGGTCAACATGTTTGAAAAACAAAAATCAATCCCCTGAGACGACGACAGACTCTCAGGAGTAGAGGTTTTATCAACTTTAGGTTTTTTTAACAGTCTCAGATGGCATGGTCAGTTTACGTCTTTTGGCCTTGAGACGAGCTTCATTCATAGAATTCCAATCTATCTCCGAAAGGTCCTGGCATAAGAGACACTGAGACGTAATTGAACAGGGTGGGTCCGGGGAACATGAAATGCACAAGGAATGAGGGTCCTTTCCCGAGCGGAATTTTTGACATCCCACACATTTACGTTGTGACATAATGGCAAAGTTAACGGAAAAACACAGCTAAGTCACAAGTTATAATAGCAGAAAATTTTCCGACAAAAAACAAATAAAGACGATTGCCTATCAAAAAATGCAAGTGGTACTGACCTCAAAGTCCAAGGAAGCAAGTAAGGCACAAGAAGTCGACAAAAAAACACTCCTTGTGAAGCAAACCAAAAGGACAGTCTCAACACGTGTTTCCACCGTGGTTACAGAGGAAAATATGAAGAGTACTTCCGGAGGATTATGGGTAGACCAGATCAGGGGAGGTAACCGAGTACTTCCGGTTTACTTACAGGTAATCAACGCACGATCTTTTTTTCTTTAAAAAATATTTTTAACCTTAAGGATAGTCTGTTACACATCATCAGGTAAAGAGAAAAGGGCTAACACAACCCAGAGGGAATGTTTACGCTAAAAATTATGACTTTCTTCACATTCTAAAACGTATACCATGAAACAGGGAATCTAGATCCACTCTAGAACCTTTTTCATATTTTGCTGTAAAACACATTTTTGCCATCACATTTTGATTTGCGTTGAAAATGCTACAATTAGTTGATCACAGAATAAAATGAACCCTTGGTTAAACTGAAAGACTTCTATCGAACATGTTCTGCTAAAGGACATGACTTTGATTCAATGTATACAATATTCATACAAAACAAATCAACATCGGTATCATCAAGGAAGACATGACTTTGTCAATGGTAGCTTTACTACCATTTTGAGTTCTACAACATGACCAAGGACTGAACTTTCAGTCATTTTATAAATGATCAAGGAATGAACTTTCAGTCATTTAAAAAATGATCAAGGACTGAACATTATATCAATATGATAAAGGATTGAACTTTCAGTCACATTTACATGATCAAGGATTGAACATTTTCTTATTGCAACTCTATCAAGGATTGAAAGTTCAGTCACATAAAAATTACCAAGGATTGAACTTTCAGTCATATAAACATGATCAAGGACTGAACTTTCATATTAACATCAATAATTGAGTTGTGATGGTGATATCAGACTCTGAACCTTCACATGAACATCGCAGAACATTAAATATCAACATGATCTGAATGATTAGGAACATACATACAAAATGAAACATTGCCCTAGAGGATGAACCATGTATAAAGTTCACCGTGAGTGAGCAGCTACAATATGTCCACAGGCGAAGCATCACACACAAAAACAGACTGTGTGATATGTCGCTGCACCGATTCTTCCTCCCTATCATCTGCAACAGATCTGCACAACATCCCAAACAATGATGGATTAATCTCTTTAATCTTGGATGCTTTTTTGTATGTGCATTTAGCTTATCAGTGGTAAAACTGTAACAGACAGCAGACTGATCTTTCATCAGCACCATCAGAAACACCCTAACCTTCCACAGATATCCAGTTTAAGACCAGTATAACCCTACTACACGAGGTTCAACATCTTTGATAAGTGCCACTCACTAGCCTGACTTACACCACTGAAACATATTCCAGAGATAACTAGAGATAAATATAAGCTTGTAAACATAATAGATTACCTAGTTTAATGCATTCAGTATGTGGAAAAGCATCTTGCAAATTACCGTATTCAGTGTATTAAGTGTCCATGTTGCATAAAATATTCCAACAGTGTGACAGTTATAAGCAACTACAGGCATATGGATAAGGATATGTAAAACACATCTAAAAATGGAGATCTTTGATCTTTTTCTTAAAGTTGAATTAATGACAAATGCACAAACACATGTATGGAAACATATATTAAAAGAACAACGGAAGGCGATAATAAGGGAGAAGGCGATCATAAGTGGTGCACTTGTGCCTAATCCCGTTGTCATTTGGACAATAAAATATGTTTAAACCAACAACTGAAACAAAAACCTTGAGTAAATCCTAAATTAATATAACACTAACAGTTTTGAAATTCCACTTGAACATATTGCAGCTTTAACACTCACATCACCCTAACATGCCTTCAAAAAGACTTGAGTCTGAGATGTAGAATGTGTTTACACCATCTTGTGCGTCCATCTCCCAATTGTTGTGAACCCTACAAACACAGACATCTTACAGCACATCATCTCAAGAGGAAAGACAGTCTCTGTACAACAACAACCAGTCAGCTAATCCACCAAGATCAACAGATAAGATGTCTGACAAGTCACACCCTGTGTCCAGCGACTGCTGATCAAAGGCTGACAATCCTGGAGCTCCTTCAACCAACCCATCACAAACCTTCAACAACATCTCCTCAGTAGATGCCTCCGAGCATCTGTGCTTTCATTCAATTTTTGCTTCTCTTACAATTTGATATTCCTCAAAGTACGCTGTACATCTCAAAAGGTTTATATTAGTTGTGGCAAAAATATTATCCTTACATCGAAAACCGTGTATAAAAGAACTCTGTGGAAACCTGAGGTGCCAAACATGTTCTGCTAATCATCTCTGAAGCAGATTCTTTGAAATCATTGAAACAAGAGCTGGCTTGAGTTTGAAGTACTCTGTGGCAGACCCGACCAAGTAGACATCATGGCCTTCATAGAAGAACCTGGAAACAAAAACATAGCTCTCAACACCATAGAAAATACATCCAATCACAGAGAGAAAGATATCCCGAGAAATTACATACCGATTGCACAGTAAAAAATCAGAATTGCAAAACTTGTGAATGAAACTTAACTTTTTTTACATATCTTTACAACTCCCAGCACACTGTCAAATATATACACTATCTGTCAAATATATACACTATCTGTCAAATATATACACTATCTGTCAAATATATACACTATCTGTCAAATAAATACACTATCTGACCAGATTTGTTAGGCTGCATACAACAACTATAAATGATCTGTGACTAGCTACTGTTACCCATCTTGTTCTAAACACAGCAAAAATAACTCACTTCCAAGACAAAAAGACATGATTACAAAAAACACATCATTTACTTTCAATCTTATTCATTTCTCAAAAAGTCTTGGCGTGACACAATTTGGTCCAAGCTGTCAAAGTGAGTTAGTGAGTAACTCTTATGTCGCACTCAGCAATATTCCAGATATATGGCGGCAGTCTGTACATAATCGAGTCTCGACCTGACAATCCAGTGATCAACAGCATGAGCATCAATCTACGCAATTGGGATACGATGACATGTGTCAACCAAGTCAGCGAGCCTGACTACCCAACCCATTAGTCGCCTCTGACGACAAGCATGGGTTACTGAAGATCAATTCTAACCTGGATCTTCACGGGTCCCAAGCTAGCAAATCATGTTTTAGAAGTATATATTATACCGTAGAAGCCCACGGTGTAGGTTGCGAGGTTTGTAGTGCTCAGCAGCGAACAACCCAAAACAGCGACACAGCTCCCGTAACAAGGAATAGTCGCTGGGGGAATCCTGCATATAATATACCACCAGAGGGCGCCTGTAACAGAAACATATATTGTCACCACAAAATTAGTTAAGTCATGTTAAAAAACAATTTCACCACATTTAAAAAAAAAATAAAATGGAAGCAGGACTGTTCCTATGGTAACACATTAATATGAGTGAGTGAGTATAGTAAGTTGCATGCTGCTTTTAGCAAGTGAGTGAGTGAGTATAGTTTTATGCCGCTTTTAGCAATATTCCAGCAATATCACGGCAGGGTACACCGGAAATGGGCTTCACACATTGTGCCCATGTGGGGAATCAAACCTGGGTCTTCGGCATGACGAGCCAAAGCTTTAACCATTAAGCTACCCCAATGATCCCAAAGTGCATGAAGTAACGCATACTATAACACATAAATCCCACTGTCTGATGTAACATTAATACTGTAACATATTTATCTGATTCAAATATAGTTAAGAGAAGAAGGAAGTTTAAATGACAGGTCACCTACACCTATATCCACCTACGCTTGTGAAGTTTGTATTACTAACAAGTGTTATATTTGGCATTACACTTTCTTGGTAAAGTACTATCTCAACCCAAGAAAAGTTCCAGAATCTGTACTTTACTAAGAAACTGTAATCCCAAATATAACATGTTACATTTGACCACTTTCTAAATGGCATAGTGTATTTACATTTCTGACGCCTACTGACTGCATAAGCACTCCAAAATGTATTGGGCTATTTCTATTAAAGTTTCAAACATCAATCTGTCTGCCTGTCATGGTTTATCTATTGTTAGAATCGGAACTTTTCATGCCTTACACTCATACTTTTTAATTAGCCAACCTACTTTTCATCTGCGGAGATTTTCACATCAAAGTCCTTGACCTTCTGTACACAGAGTTGAAGGTCAGTGATGGGGAAGCTGACGCTGCTGGCTATGTTGTGTTTCAGCTGCTGCTCATACGAGACCATCGTCAAGTTACTCATCCCAGTCAATGGTGTTGGTCCATCTCTGCAAACAATGATAATTTCAACCAAAACATTCAAAATTTGTTTACCCTTCTTAACTTGACTTCAAATTTTCCTTAAATATTTATAAGAAGCATATACTGTTTTCAACTCTAAATATCCTGGTTATACAATCCATCAGACAAAACACACATTCACATTCTTCAGCCAGTGAAACCATAATATTCATTCAAACACATCTAATTGATTTTTTGAGACAGGACCCAGCAACACTTCTCCTCAAATTTAAAAATGGTTATTGTTTCATCTGAACATTCTGTATAACAACTTTCTTGTTTATTGCATAAAACAATGTTCTCATGTAGATTCATACACCATTATCAAGTTGTCAACTTTTAGCTTGAAAACGGTGTAAGAATCTACATCAAAACGCGGCTCTATGCAATAAACAAGCAGTTATCCATAATCGTATGCTTCATTTTCAAATTGACAGGCTCTAATAACAATTTGGGTTTTTTTTCTTTGATTGGCATTCTAGATGTTGAGTAGATGAAGAATGAGGACTATTTTTAGCTCTTGCTTGACAACAACATTAAAATCTATGTTGAAATGTTGCCTATACAGAATAAAAAAGTTGCATATCCATAAAAATAGTTCTCATTCTTTAATTATTTTTTTGTTCACAACATGGCATCATTTCACTTTGCCAAAAGTTTCAAGTTAGTTTCATAAAATCTTTTTACAAATTTCAGACAAGGTTACAAATAAAATGATAACTTGATTGGAACAAACTGAAAACCGAGAGCACTAGTTTTCTAAACTGCTTTATCCATATCAAATGTCATACCGTGGAAGTGATCCTTTAAAAAAATATCTTTACTTCCACATGCCTCAAAGATAACATTTTAAATTAAAGACTTCAAAAACATATCAGAATTGACGGAGTTTCATTTCAAGCTGTCTAGTGTCACAGACGTGAAGCATATTAAGGAGAGCACTTAAAGTTTCATAACACAACCAAATCTGAAAACACATAACTGATTAGCAGTCTGAGGTAGTTTGTCAGACTGGACAAAGATGCTCGGATCCCAACAAAAAATATCAGCATCTTTAAGTGGAGTATTAATCACTACAAGCAGGTTCACATATGACTTGGCATCTCGGACTTAAGTCTTTGTTTTTATTTGCCTGAAGATATTCACAGCTTCTTCTCTGAGTGAAGAGTCAGCTCACAGACAGACTTCTAATTGGAAACTCAATACTCTCCACTTGAAAAACCATGCAGACAGGAATTACCATGGTTCTGTGACACACTGTAACAACCCTCCTACATGAAACGGTATTTCACTTGGCACTGACAGCAGAAGAACAGTGAAGACTTCTGACTTTCACCATGTCCACATTCACTTACATGAAAAAATCAGTTCGGTAATTTGAGACCGCATTTCAGTAAAAACTACAGCAATTTCCCGCGTAATCAATCACACCCCTTGAGACCAAGTTTAAAAACAGTGCCCAGCACTCTACCACTTGTCAGAAAAAGTGACTTTTTTGGATCAGGTGGCCAAGCTTGCTGACTTGGTTGACGATTCATCATGCCATGGCTCCCTCCCGCAATGCTGCATCCTCAATATCTCCAGGGCTCTGATTTCCGTAAACCTACACTAACCACAGAGGTTCTTACCATCCCAAATTTCCTTGATTTTCATGAACATTTTAACGACAATAAAACATCCACATAAGGGAGAGGACAAGTACAGGCGGTACTTAGGTTACGTACACACCAAAGCCAGTGCTGGTTTTAATGAACATGATTACACCTTTTTCATTAAAAAGATTTTGAAGGGTTTCCACTTGCATGTCAATCAGTTAATAATGGCTTTATCGCAATTCGATCATAATCAAATGGACTGGCTACTATGATGACAATACTATTGACCTTATGTTGACGCTGGTGATTCTGATTGGTACACTAGACCGAATAGAACAGCCAATCAAATTGGCAAATGGAAATCAAGGGAGGGTAATCTGACTGACTGAGTTTGGTTTTACGCCGCTTTTAGCAATATTCCAGCAATATCACAGCGGGGGACACCAGAAATGGGCTTCACACATTGTACCCATGTGGGGATTCGAACCCAGGTCTTCGGCGCGACGAGCCAACGCTTTAACCATTCAGCTACCCCACCGCCCCGAGGGTGATCTGAGATTATGAGAACCAGGGGAATGGCTCCATGGGTTCTGACTGGTACACAAGACCCAGTACAACAGTCAATCAACTTGGCAGATGGAAATCAAGGGCGGATAATCTGAGTTTGTGAGAACCAAGGGAATGGCTCCTGGGCTAACGTAGGCTTACTGAATTTGTTTTGTGCTGACATGAATCATAAAAAGTAGGACTGCACAGTAATACCGACATATCGCAATACACCTGTCAAATGATACATATTCCGATTTGTTTTTTCTTCTGAAGCAGTACATTGGGCAATAAAAATATATGAAGTTTTGTGATTATCTCTTTGGTTTAAGTTAAGTTAAAATCTACACAGACTTTCATTCACACTGAAACTTTTTATCGTAATTTATTGAAAAAAAACAGCAGAGTTCACATACAATAAATGTTGCATAAAAAAAAAATACAATCCCTCAAAATCAAATCTAAATTTGTGATTTCTGTTATCCCGACCATAACATCTATTGTTGGAGCTTTAGTGTGCAGAAAAAAGGCTGTGCCTGTACAATCAATATCACTCACTGTCAAACACTGAAGCTCCCAATTTATCACAATACATCTTACAATTCATACTGGAATACAGGTACCAGAATTGCAACATATTGCAATGCAATTTATTTGCCAATACACGGCTCTAATAAATTAAATGTCATCTAGCATTGGTGAAAATCTCCTTCTTCAGGTGAAAGATATTTTCAAATTGGTTTAAAGAGCCATTTTATAGTTGGTGTTGGTGTAGACAATATACTTACAGAAGTGTGGTTCTGGGTTTTCCAAACAACTGTGTTATCAGCTCTTTACTTGTATCTGCTCCTTGATAAGGCTGTCTGAAGACCCGAGACATGTCTGGGACGAGGATCTCTCCATTGTAGTCCACGCTCAGCCGCCAGCCCGCCCATGCTCTGCACACACAGACAATAGGTACACAGGTGAGTGAGTGAGTTTAGTTTTACCCCGCGCCAGAAATATTCCAGCAATATCACAGCAGGGGAAACTAGAAATGGGCTTCACACATTGTACTGAGGGCAATCGAATCCAGTCTTCGGTGTTATGAGTGAACGCTTTAACCACTAGGCTACCTCAAAGAACCAGTTATACATGGGACCTTCCTGGCCCACCCATGATGAATTTTGGACTCCTGTGATGGGATTCAAACCACAAACTTTCTTATCTGAAGTTGGACTGGGAGTTCACATGACCAAAGAGGTTAACCCCCTCTGAGTGCTGACAGGGTAAGGATGACATCTGTGGGATGACTCCACACCCTGCTACATTCTCCCCAATCAACAGAAAGCAAGTGGCAGGCTACATAGTTGGACACTGGTCTTTATTTAGAATAAGCATGTTCTGCCCCATTGGCCGTCAATGTAGCAGGCATAAAATATCATAGGTCCCAAGATGGAATTCAAACCAAGGACCTTCTAATGCAAAGCTGACACCTTGTCCACATGACTAAAGACTGACTGACTGACTGACTGAGTTTGGTTTTATGCCGCTTTCAGCAATATTCCAGCAACATCACGGCGGGGGACACCAGAAATGGGCTTCACACATTGTACCCATGTGGGGATTCGAACCCGGGTCTTCGGCGTGACGAGCCAACGCTTTAACCACTAGACTACCCCGCCGCCCCCACATGACTAAAGATGTTAACCCTTTAGAGAAGCTGATGACAATGTCAGTTGTTGGATGACTGCATCCCTGCGACCCGTGATATCCACATAGATCTGTAAACATATGCCATCTCACCTGTCTTTACAACACTTGTGTATGGATGACGTGAGTATTTTCAGGAAAGGTTTGCTTTTCAGAAGAAATCCAAGTCCAGGGAACTCCTCCACCCTGTAGATGAGATTCTTGTTTCCTGACAACTTCTCAAAACCTGAAAACAAGAGGAATATCTTCGTACAAAATGTCTGAAATATTTGAGATGATGTTGGCATGAGGGTATATTGTTTCTAGTAGCTGGGAATGATGTTGACTAACCTCAGCTGTATCTTGAATATGACACCCACTGCTGAAACATATCCTCTCACTTGAGTGTACGTAGAGGGTAATGTCCGAGTAACTCTCCTTTCCTTAAAAATAATGGAGCCGAGGCACATTATTTTTAAGGAATGGAGAGTTATGAGGATATTACCCTACTTAAATTATATTCAAAGTATTGGGAATATTTCTGTTATCAAAATTAAATGTCAAAATGAAGGCTTTAAATTGAAACTGGTACACATCGCTCCATTCTTGAAAAGTAATGGAGCGAGCAGACAATGGAATGACGTCACAAATGTAATTCAACTGTCTGTAATGTCTGAGTTTCCAGGACTTCAGTCCTGCCCCAAACAAAGCATGTGTGATACATGTGGCCTCAGCTTAGGCAAGTCAGTTTGTTCAAACTTGCCTCTGTTCACCGAGCAGAAGCTGGGTACCCGGTGGGTAAGTCATGCGACTATTAACCTTCTAATTATTATTATTGACTGTGAGGAGAATTTCTGGATGGCAGGTTCTTTATTTGGGGAACACGATGTTTCAGAGTATATTTTTATTACTTAATCAGGTGAATGAAAAAAGTAGGAATCAGATATCTTTATGCTTGGGACTTTTAATTTAAACATCACTGCTAGCTTCCAAGTTCATTGTCACTTCCCTTGTTAAATGATACCATTGTTATCTGATCATTCATGCCTGGATTAACAATCCCTGGCGTCCATTTGTCCATGCACAGTACAAATTAAGCACAAACTAACTACTGGCTTCCAGAGCTCCAGATAAGCTGCGTATTTGTCTATAATACGCGATAGAAAAGTTGAAATACGCAAGAAAACTAAATGCCAGCGTATGAAAACACACTAAATATTTACATTTACACTATGTCAAAATAAGAATGCGTATTTACCCAATACATCAAAATTATGTTGGCATCGTATCAATTCAAGCCAATCGAAACAAACTTTTCCATCTCCAAATATTCATGATTAAGATATTCTTGAATAATTCTAAACACAATTAAGATGCGCAACACAGACAGAATACAAGTCATAGTTTGTAAACCTTCACTGGTTGGCCAATCTATAAATAGCGACCAATCAAATAGCTGTTTCCTGTGTACATGTCCTGTAAACAAAACAAACATGGTCAAAAGCTTCCACATGCTCAAAGTAAAATATCTAGCTTTCTTATGCTACAATCAGAAAACAACTTCATTAGAGGACTGCTAGATGAATTAATATTATGCTGTGTTTCACAATCAGAATCAATTGCCGGTGATATCTTAAATGAACTTGTAACATTAGCTATTCTCGGCGTGGATGTGAAACAACATGATGGGAACAAGGTTTTGAAAAAAAAAAAGTTGCTACATGGAAAAGAAAATTTCCATGGTTAATTTTGAATAAAAAAAGGTCTTATGAGGTGACGTTGTAGTGTGTGTCAGGCACACCTCTTACACTTGTTATTTAAAATGAATACCCGAATCTTAAAAATATGGTGGGTATCAAAAAGTATAGATACCCACTTGAAATTGGAAATACCCACTTAGTTTAAAAAGTATAGGTATCATACCCCCATGGCCAAAGGCTTATCTGGAGCTATGGGCTTCCATTGTTATCTTATCACTGTTGTTGTTTCACATGTACATATATAGCTATCTGTTTCCTAGTTTTGTTTCTTTATGTGTATCACTTCTAGCTGCTGTTCAAAGATTCTTTACTGCCACCCACCATTATAGTTCCAGGCTGAGACGCCCATGAGGCTGTCGTCAGCGTCCAGCACCGGGAGGAAGTGGGACATAAAATGGAGGAAGTTGGGAGCCAACAGCAGCTCTTCCTCCAGCACGATCACATGACTCTGAAAGCAAAACATGCTCCATGATAATCAAAGGTTTGAGAGAGGATATTTCCCTAGTCAGGACAACAATCTATTTTGCAGAACTCGTTATTTCTTTGAAAACTATTCCAACCTGTCAATCTCTGCCAATCCCCATCCTCCCCGAGATATTAAATGATGGTGGATGGAACGACTCTTAAAACATTACACACATACAGAATAAAGAAACAGTTTGGGCGATGAGACGAGAACACTTAAACCACAAGAAGACCCAAGCAAACCCTCTTGTCTTGGTTTACGACAAAAGAAATCTTTCCGATTAAGGAAGGCCATGTTTATTATTTTACTGATAGTTTTCATCAAAGAAGAGAAAATGAACAAATCTAGAAGCCACTGTGAAAGGATGGTGAATATTCAATACTGGGAACTATCAACAAAAATTTGATAAAGATTAGTCTATCCTAAAAAGCAATACTTACAGAATCAGGATAGACCACATCTATCATTCTCATAGCTTTGGCCATTTGCTCTGTAAAACAAAATGTTATTTTCTGCATAAAATTGATATTTTATACTTATCCTGACTCATGCTTATTATGCTTGTCTCCTCCTTCTATGCGAATGATAGTGGAACACTTGAAATCCCTTGTAGTTCCCTTTAAAGCGGACGTAAAAGTACACTCACCCACGAGTTGCCTCCCTTGCATAGTTTCCCGCCAAAACAGTCACATGACTAACCATGCTTGTCACTCTCCTCCATAATATGCCCGACATATGGATTTACCGTGAAATCCGAAGTGCCATCAGTGGGAAGGTTGGGAGGGCTTGACATCATGAGTCAGGATAAGTATAAAATATCAATTTTATTCAGAAAATTACATATTTTTCCTTATCCTGGCTCATGGTTATTATGCTTCCCGAATCCGACGGATTTGTGGTCGGTCAGGTCACCTTCTGGGATTTATTGGCTGTCCTAGATACGTCCTGTATCTACCCCCATGGGAACTATCATACGGCATTTCTCGAAAACCCTGTTCTTCCAACTTCCATCTGCCAACTCAGGGGTACCACATCTTATCAGTCTTTTTTAAGACAATTGAATCTACGATTCATGTGGATTTAAGATATACTAGTGTATCCTTGCTAGATATCTATAACAACTCATATAAGAAGTATCTTCAAATCGTAAGAGTTGCGACCCTTTTCGCGTACGAGTACTTCCCAACAAGTACAGGGTCTGAATGACTCATGTTGGTCTGTTCTAGACGTAAACATGGACTCTCAACCAAGACTCTCCAGAGCGAAGGTTATCAGCAAGTCACGTGATAAAAGGGTGAGATTTTGAATTCAACGCCTCTGTGGATCCGTTAGTTGTTGTGCAACAACAAGTGGCCCAAACTTGTGAATGCCGGGGACGTCTTCAGTGGCAATGTCTCTCAGGTTGTGGTTGGCAAACACCGTATCAGATTTCCAAAAGCAGCCCTCCATTATTGATGTTATCAAGCAATTCCCATGCAGAGCGAGCGTAGACGCCAAAGCTCTGACTTTGTGTGGGTTGGATGCACTCGGAGGTGGCCGTTCTGCTTCTTTGTAGGCCCTTAGTATAACGGCTCTCATCCATACGGATATTGTTGTTCTGGAGACTTCTGTGGATGTCTCTGTAGACAACGGGATGAACAGGCGCTTGAACTTTTGTCTCCTTGTTCTTGTCCCGGTTAAGGTAAATTTTCAATGCTCTGACCGGACATAGAGATAAATCCTGTACATCCTCCTGCCTGAGGATTGTTTATAATGCTGGTACATGGAACTGTCTATCTGGTTGACCAGGTAGCTGATTCTTTGCCACAAAATCCCATCTAAGTCCTAAGTGTGCTACGGCACGATGTCCTGTGTAAAAACCGAGTTCGTCCAAAATCCAGCGCACGTATCTCTGATACTCGGACTGCCGTGGATAAGGCGAGTAGAAACAGTGTTTTCTGCGTAAGTAGTTTGAGTGACGTTTGCTCTAACGTCTCGTAGGTATCCTTGGTGAGATGTTGTAGTACTACATTGAGATCCCACGCAGGTGCCTTGAATTTCTTTTGCTGATCCTCCAGCTTGAAAGAACGTTGTAAGGCCAGTAGATTTGGTACTTTCATCAATTTGCTGCCTGTCTTCATGGTCAGTACTGTGCTAACAGCCCCCAAATACGCAGATAAGGTCGGACCTTTCAATCTCTTTGTCTGTCGTAGATGACATAAGTAACCCGCCACTTGAGGATGAGATGCTCTCATTGCTGTGAAACCCTTGCGCCGAGCATATTGTTGAAACCTCTGCCATTTGTCATCATACAGGTTGCAAGGAGATCTGCGAAAAGCTACAGTGACCGCTTTCGCTGCTCTGGCAGAATACCTGGCAGTAGCCTCTCTTCCTCAGGCAAGTTTTGATACTGTCCATGCGTGAATCTGGAACACTGCCGGATTCCCGTAAACTTGCTTGGTGTGTGGATGAACTAGTAGATTCGGCCATTCTGGTAGGTTGGCTTTCCGGGATGGCTTTCCTAGTTCTTGAATGAGATCTGGAAACCACACTCTCGCTGACCAAAAGGGCGCAACCAAATTCAGTTGGAGGACAGTAGTCTGCCTCTTTTTCTCGAGTACCTGCGGGATTAGAACCGGCAGTGGAAAACGTATGCGCTTAGTCCTTCCCACGACATGTTCAATGTGTCTATTGTCAATGCTAGCGGGTCTGGTACCGGTGAGACGAACGTCTGTATCTGTCTGTTGAACCTTGTGGCGAACAGATATAGAAGTGAAGATCCTAGCGTCCTTATGATGAGATGAAACGCCTCCGGATGAAGCATCCATTCTGTCAGGGATGGTTGCTGTGGCCAGGACAGAGCATCTGCTAGGATGTTCTTTGCTCCGGGAATGTGACACGCCTTTATCCAGATGTTCAGCTTGTCCACAATGTCGAACAGATGAAATATGAGATGTAGCAGACTTGCTGATCTTGTTGAGCCTTGTCTGTTGATATAAAGTGCCACTGTGGAGTTGTCCGTGTGCACTGTCAATACTTCGTTGATCAGAGACTTCGACCAATGTTGTAAGGCGCTGATGACTGCTTTCATCTCTAGTTGATTGATGTGCAGATGTCGTTCCCTTTCCGACCACTTTCCTGCAGCTACCTTGCTCTCGAGGAGTGCTCCCCATCTTGTAGCGACGCATCCAGGTACAGATGTGTGTCGCAAACCGGCTCTTCTAAATAAGTTCCTCCGCAAACATTCGACTTGGTTGTAGACTCTCCGGTAGAGTTATCAACTCTGTATTGCTGAGGTGAACGTTCAGAAATCGCTGCAACGAATGTAGTTGTATTCTTCCTCTGCGAGTTAAATCCGGCCCTGAGGCGCTGCCATGTTTGGAGATTCAACGGAATCAAAGTCATCATCAACCATTCTGTAAGTGAGTGCTTCATTCTGTTCCTTGGATGGAGAGGCTAAATCGAGACCACTTGCGATCCATGAAGTAACCTCTGCATCAGAGAAGATCCCATCACTCTCCTCATCCTTGTCTGACGAGGTGTGTCTTTGCGAATCCCTTTGCGCTTGCTACAATCGCGAGTCCTTCCTAGGATCCGCCTTTCGCGAATGATCCTTTTGCGAATGCTCATCACGGCTGGAGTCTCTTGTTCACGAATGATCCTCCCTTTAGGATGGTGAAGTAGATCTATGACTGTAAGATCTGCTTGATACTAACGTGGTGTGTTCACGCCTCGGAGGAGATTCCCTGGAGATAGAACGGCGATGTTCTCGAACTGTATCCTCCTCATTAACATTTGCAGATCCCTCTCGACTGCAGAACGTTGAATCCTCAGTAGGTGAAGACCTTCTCGAACGCTGGTTATCCTGCGTCGTGACTGCATTCGTCAAATGATGATCCGTGACTGCTGTGTTCGCCGACTGATGATCCACGAGTGCTGCATCCTGTGGAGTGGATTCCATTCTGGGTACTGCTATTGCCGAAGCTTGCTGTAACCTCTTCTCTTCGTCGAACCTCTGTTCCATCGAGGACAGCATCTGTTGGGTGAATTGCTTCATCAATGCACCCGGGTCAAAGTTCTGCGCTGACTCATCTTCTAGTCTGCGTTGTGAACGAAGTGAAGAAACGCTGATGTTCTCTCTGGCACCCGATGTCTGCGACGATGACGGACAATCTCTAATCATCTGCTGCGCTGATGAAGCGGCTGAAGATGTAGATCTGGCCGACGACGGTTGCTTTGACACTTTGCTGACTTAAGGTAACTTCTGGCAGCAAAATCGGCGGGTCGTCAAAGTTGTCTACCTCTGCCGGGGGAACAATATCTTCGTTGAATGACGTCTGATGAGCAGGTCTAGTAGAACTGGAAGACTTCGAAGATGATTTCGACGCAGACGTCTTCTTCTTCTGTGAACTCACAGATGACGACTGCAATGAAGCCAACTCTGACGACGCTGCCCTCTTCCTCGTAACAGAAGCCTGCCCCTGTGACGAACCGGGCAAATCACTAGAAACATTAGTTTCATTTGCAGATGACAACACACCTTGTCCTTAGTACGTCTAAACAAGGCACAAATAGTTATTAAATTGAAACGTAGATAAATTTATACAATATTGACAGAGAGAGCTGGCAGAGCATTGATTAGTACAAGAAGGACAAAGGGGGTGCGGATCAGCCGCAGACAGCCCATGCCTGCAAAAAGAACACGATTTCATCAACTGTAAACAACAAATACATGTGATGAAAACAACAATATTTACGTAAATTTGGACATAATTCCTATATACACTGAATAATAATACAGACCGAAAACCGTATACAGCTAAATTTTGGCTAAAGGGTCGAAATATAAAAGGATATAGTGCCGTATAGGGACTCCCAAGTTCCCACAAACCATCCACCAGGGCGAAGGAGGAGAGAGTGACAAGCATAGTTAGTCATGTGACTGTTTTGGCGGGAAACTATGCAAGGGAGGCAACTTGTGGGTGAGTGTACTTTTACTTCCGCTTTAAAGGGAACTACAAGGGATTTCAAGTCTTCCACTATCATTTGCATAGAAGGAGGAGACAAGCATAATAAGCATGAGTCAGGATAAGGAAACATAACAGTATTTTCAAAAAAAGGTCAAATAAAAATGAATTATCAAAATGCAAGTCATTTGTGACATTTGATTTGCAGTTCAGTATTGTTTGTATTGTTGTTTACCTAAAGGAAATGTAGTCCACACACAAATGCTCGCAATGTCTTCTAACTGGCCAATAATGAAGTGGGCGATGCTTGGGTTGTATATTTGCAATGAACGTTTTCACTGATGTGGTATAATTGACCTTTCAGACGTGCCTGTGAATTTATTGTCGACTGATTTGTTTAAAGAATTGACATCAAGATGATTTTCTATTTCTGGAGGTACAAATTCTTAATACACAAATATCGCTTGGAGATGAAATACATCTAATATGTCATTACTGATATCCATCATTTGATGATAGAAAATCCTTTCTTAAAATAGCACAACAATTAAGGAAGTACTTGTTTATAAATATTTTTCTATTTACCCATAATTACCCGTAACATATGTTATAGTCAGGAATACACCGTAAAGTAAAAAGTCTGGTATTTTTGTTGGGTGAGTCTTATCCGGGATTCGGTCACACACTCTAAGAGTCAGGCACCTAACATCCAGCACACAAAGTCAGCCACCACAGGGTACTGACTGACTGAGTTTTGGTTTACGCCGCTTTTAGCAATATTCCAGCAACATCACGTCGGGGGACACCAGAAATGGGCTTCACACATTGTACCCATGTGGGGATTCGAACCCAGATCTTCGGTGTGACGAGCCAACGCTTTAACCACTAAGCTACCCCACCGCCCCACCATAGGGTACACAAAGTATGAGATCCAGACTACAAATTGTCTGTATTCCATATAACATATGTTACATTCGACCACTTTCTAAATGACATTGTGTATTCATATAAATATTTGAATTGCATTGTAAAACAAGACTTGCACCAGGATTTCAAGACCCATGGAACACAGTCTGATATTTTTACTACAGAGAGACAGCACTTGCGGACATCTACTGGTGAATGTTCACTAATCAATAAAATGTAAAACTGACCGTAATACTGCACGCTGCTTTTCAAGCTGGCATTCCTGAAGCCAAACAAATCAGCCAGATCTCCATGTTCTGGAAATTTCTCATCCCACATCACCTGAAACAAGATGGTCAAGATGATGAGGACGCACACATACAGCCAACACTTGCACTACTTGCACCAACATATCATGAATTACACTTGCAGGCAAAACAGTGAGCGAGTGAGTGAGTTGGGTTCTACGCCACTTTTAGCAATATTCCAGCAACATCACGGCCGGGGACACCAGAAATGGGCTCCACACATTGAGCCCATATGGGGAATCGAACCCTGGCCTATGACGTGACGAGTGGACGATTTAACCACCATGCTTCCCTACAAACCCTTAAATAACTCTGTCTGTACATATCTATACCCTAAGTCTGCCTCTTGTTGAACTTTTTTATAATATACACTTGTAACTATGTGGAGAGGGCTTATTTAAGTTGGATAACTTGTGCCCAATCCGTTTCTTAATTGAATAAAATATGTTTCAATCAATCAACCCTGAAGGCAAAAAGCCGCACATGCAATGTTTCAACTTGTTAAAAGTTGTCATTAATTTTGAACAGAACAGTCATGATATAAAAGTGGTCTGAAAATTGTGTCCAAAAAAATGGGTGTTACTGCCAACTTGAAATCCCTTTGTGGTCCAGAATCCACGCCACAAGAACCAGTGATAGATAGCATGAGCTAAAACCCATGTACAGACTAGTCACATGTTAAAAGCAAACAAATCCTTCAATCATCAGTTCAAACCCATGTAGACTATATGTACTGTCCAGAGATCTGTGTGAGGAGCTATAATCTGTAGATCTACTCACAGCCACCATGTCTGGTTTCATCCCCGGCTGCATCAGCGTCGTCTCCAGAGTCCGTACCAGAGCATTGTGGTTCAACCCTGACAACAAACAGCTAGTGTCAGCGAACATGGGACAATGTATGGCTTTTGTTTCAAAATGACTGACTGAGTTTGGTTTCGCCGCTTTTAGCAATATTCAAAATGAACATGAACAATGGGCTAGTACCCATGTGGGGATTCGAATGTTTCAGCGTGGCCAAGTTGAACCATACAGGACATTTTGTGTTTCTTTGTTTGTTGTTTAGGACATTTGGTGCTTCTTTGTTTGTTGTTTAACATCGCAATATTCCAACTATATGGCGTCAGTTTGTAAATAATCGAGTCTGGGCCAGATAATCTGGTGATCAAAAAAGCACGAGCATCAATCCATGCACATGGGATACAATGACATGTTGTATGAAGTTAGCGATGCCTGACCACCCGATCCACGCTGCCTCTTCGACAAGCATGGGTTACTGAAGATCAATTCTAACCAGGATCTTCAAAGTAGTCCACCTATGTCAAGCGGGAACATAATACATCATCAAATAACCTCTGGCTTGGTTGAAATGTATTTTGTGATATGTAAATCCTTCCAGTAAATCTTAATGATTTTTTTTGTACCAAGATTTTATCTAAAAAAACAAAATGACAGGGAGAAGTTGTTCTGTTACCCACCTGGCACCACAATAATGGGTGTGGAGAAGATGCGATGGTTTTGTAGTGCTTTGTCCACAACTCCTACTGGCTTCAGGAAATCATCCACATGGGTAGCTGCAAGAAAAATACTTATTCCAATGATATGTACTGCAAAAACATACAACACCCATATATTTACATTCAACACTGGACATCTAGTAACATCTACTCAACATCAGTTAATTTATACTAGAAAACGTAAAACCATCGTCATTACCATCCATTATAGCCAAAATACATGGAATTATTATGAAACGGCCCTCCTATTATCAGAAATTAGTGGGCCGCTGCAACTGATATTGGACTGCTCAACCTTAACGACAGCCACTATCAGTTCTGTTGTCAAGTGATGTCATAGTTGGTGAGTGAGCTTACGGTTCCTTCGACATTGGCTTTAGATATTCTGGGTCAAACAAGTCAAAGCAACCCGAATTCCTGCTTTAAATAGCGGTAATGTTGGCTTTCTTGCTGGTGCTAACCTTAACAATTGCACTATTAACATTGTTGTTGGACCCAAACCGAACACTGACATAGTTTGACATGTTGCAGGCTATGGTCTTGTCAAAGGCCAACGTCGAATATCGTCACTTTCTGTTGTGATGTCACTTGAATTGTTTGATGACGTAATTGCATTCGGGCAGTCAACCCCGTCAGAAGTTGGTTTTGAGTGAACTTACAGTCAAATTCCTTCATTGTTTCCTTTTTCTTTTCAACACAAATTCCATGTATTTTAGCAATAATAACGGTAATGCTATTTTTTAAGGACATTATCATTTGCAGAAGCCCTCGGTCTTTTACAACTGCCCTCCATCGTCGGGCAGTTAATGGAAGACCTCGGGCTTCTGCAAATGATAATGCCCTCAAAAATAGCATTACCCTTATAATATCCACACACAGAATTTCATAACACATCTGGAATTCATGAAGAATCAATACACCAAACATAATGGAAGGGAGGTAACAAACCCAAACAAAATGCAAGGGAGGTAACTCAAGTCAATAATTAAGTTGTTATAACACCTGCATTCTTCACCACATTAAACCAACATTTCACTGATAATTGTTTATACCGAGGGTGATATGACCTGCAGTGAAAATATTAAACTGACATGTTGTCAACAAATTTTTATGATTTCAATGCATCAATAGTTGGCCACTTACGGTCACAGAACTCTGGGTATCCGTCATATTTCTTACAAAACTCCCTCCTGCCATCATTTCGGTAAACATCAGGATCCGGGACAATCTTCTGACCTTTAACTGGAGGAAATAACACACAAATCAGAGGAGGTCTCTAGGATATGGGCTGCAGTAAAGTGAGTAAGGTTCTACGCTGCTTTTAGCAATATTCCAGCAACATCACAGCGGGGGACACCAGAAATGGGCTTCACACATTGTACCCTTGTGGGGAATCGAACCTGGGTCTTCGGCTTGACGAGCGAAAGCTTTAACCACTAGACTACCCATCCCATCCACAAATGAAAGTATGCTGGAATATGGTAACAGCAGCCAGGCATTGTATTGACAGGAATTACATTCACATCACAATCAACCAGACAATTAAATGTCCATAATGTGAGCCATCAGCCAAGTCAACAATGACACCCTGCAGACAAGGTTATAATAGAAGTTGTTGTTTCCATGGAGACAGCACAATCCCACACCAGGCATAGCCGTAATCCAAGCATAATGTGAGCAACCATCAGCCAAGGCAACAATGACACCCTGCAGACAAGGTTATAATAGAAGTTGTTGTTTCCATGGAGACAGCACAATCCACCACCAGGCATAGCCGTAATCCAAGCAGAATTTGCTGAGTTATTTCTTTACTCAGTAGGAAGCAATAGGCCAGCTATATCACAGCAATCTGTAAATAATCCACGCTGGGTCAGAGAAAACATATGAGCCTTATACCATGGCCATCAATCAAGTATGGTTTTATGCCGCAAATGTATTCCAGCAACATCACAGCAGGGGACACCAGAAACAGGTTTCACACGTTGTACCCATGTGGGGAATCAAACTCGGGTCTTTGGCGTGCCGAGCAAGCGCTTTAACCACTCAGCTACCCCACCGCCCCTCACCATACCTGGAGATGATGACCACAAACACTATATTAGTAAACATGTCAATATAATAGACTAGAAGACTTCAAATCTTACGTTTTCTGGGAACACAGAATGATTTCTTCACAGCCCTTGGCCATTCACCTTCAAATCCTGCATAGCTGATCTGAAAATAGACATCACATATATCATAAGGCGGACACACTCGGTGGGATTTTAATCTACGTCATTATAATCAGGTTTTTTATTCCAGTAAGATAACTCTTCGGGAAATCCAGAAGACAACTCCATAGGTCATGTCAAGCCTACTTTCTAATCATGAGTGAACAGATAGTAGATGGATAAGCCAACGGCATTAAAACATGCAGAAACTTGGTGGTGTGTGGACAGTGAGAGTGACCCCTGTTAGGTAGTCATTTGCACATCTAACAGGAGCCTGTCTCACGTACACATTGCATCCTCTACTTCTGGTGATATTCATGCTTCCAGTAGTTTTGAGCTACCCCCTGTAGTTTTGAGCACCATGTTACTATCTCCAATAGTTTTGAGCACCATGTAACTACCCCAAGTTGTTTTGAGCACCATGTAACTACCCCAAGTTGTTTTGAGCACCATGTAACTACCCCCAGTTGTTTTGAGCACCATGTTACTACCCCCAGTTGTCTTGAGCACCATATAACTACCCCCAGTAGTTTTGAGCACCATGTTACTATCTCCAATAGTTTTGAGCACCATGTAACTACCCCAAGTTGTTTTGAGCACCATGTAACTACCACCAGTTGTTTTGAGCACCATGTAACTACCACCAGTAGTTTTGAGCACCATGTTACTACCCCAGTTGTTTTGAGCACCATGTAACTACCACCAGTTGTTTTGAGCACCATGTAACTACCCCCAGTTGTTTTGAGCACCATGTAACTACCACCAGTTGTTTTGAGCACCATGTTACTACCCCCAGTTGTTTTGAGCATCATGTTACTACCCCCAGTTGTTTTGAGCACCATGTAACTACCACCAGTAGTTTTGAGCACCATGTAACTATCCCCAGTTGTTTTGAGCACCATGTAACTACCCCAAGTTGTTTTGAGCACCATCGTAACTACCCCCAGTAGCTTTGAGCACCATGTTACTACCACCAGTTGTTTTGAGCACCATGTAACGACCCCCAGTTGTTTTGAGCACCATGTAACTACCACCAGTTGTTTTGAGCACCATGTTACTACCCCCAGTTGTTTTGAGCACACTGTAACTACCCCCAGTAGTTTTGAGCACCATGTTACTACCCCCAGTTGTTTTGAGCACCATGTAACTACCCCCAGTAGTTTTGAGCACCATGTTACTACCCCCAGTTGCTTTGAGCACCATGTAACTACCACCAGTTGTTTTGAGCACCATGTAACTACCCCCAGTAGTTTTGAGCACCATGTTACTACCCCCAGTTGCTTTGAGCACCATGTTACTACCCCCAGTTGTTTTGAGCACCATGTAACTACTCCAGTTGTTTTGAGCACCATGTTACTACCCCCAATAGTTTTTAGCACCATGTTACTACCCCCAGTTGTTTTGAGCACCATGTTACTACCCCCAGTTGTTTTGAGCACCACGTTACTACCCCCAGTTGTTTGAGCATCATGTTACTACCCCTACTCCAACAGCCTTTCAACATGACCATAGAAAACAATGTAATAACATAAATTCAAAAACAAGAAAGGAATGATAGTTCATGAAGAGGCATGTCAAACAGATCATGAATTCAACAAAGTTGAAATCCATGTGAACCACGTCTTCATCAAAATGGATGAGTGAGTATGGTTTTACGCCGATTTTACAATATTTCAGCAATATCACGGCAGGGGACACCATCACACATTGTACACATGTGCGGAATCAAACCCAGCTCTTTGGCATGATGAGCGAACTCTTTAACCACTAGGCTACTCCATTGTCCCTCATCAAAATGATAAAAACATAGTTACAATTTATTTATGATCCATCTTTGCTAGATCAAAGAAACCAAGAGAGAAAATTGAAAAACGAACAGTAAAAATTAACCTTCAAATTTTAACTGATTAAATGCATAACAAAACAAACAAGAGTCATCAGAAGATGACAAATCTCCCCGGCCCCCATAAATTTGAAAATACAAATCAACTGACAATTACTTAAAGTCTAACTTGATTTTTTGGGGACAAGAAAAATAAAAATGACAAAAACCTGCAAATAGCAAAAGTCAATAATTCAAGATCTTTTTATATATATCTGTCAAGTCTTGTAGAAAGATATTGAACGGTTTTCAAAACGAAACCCACCCTCCCTTTTGAGACTAAGTCCGAATCATTTCCATGCAAACCAAGAAAAATAAAAATGACAAAAACCTGCAAATAGCAAAAGGCACTACTTTAGGTTCTGTTTGATATATTTACCAAGTCTTGCAGAAAGATATTGAACGGTTTCCGAGTTGTGCTCCGAAACGAAGCCCACCTCTCCCTTTTGAGACTAAGTCCGAATCGTTTCCATGGAAACCAAAAAAATTGTAACAAAATCACAAAAGTCTGTAAATAGCAAAAGGCACTACTTTAGGGTTTGTTTGATATATCTACCAGGTCTTTTTTTTAAAAATATTGAACGGTTTTTGAGTTATGCTCCAGAAACAAAATGATTAAGGACAGACGGATGAGGCGTCGACTATATCGATAAAAATGGCAAAAAATCTGCAAATAGCAAAAGGCACCACTTCAAGATCTGTCTCATATATCTGCCAAGTTCTGATGAAAGATATTGAACGGTTTTCGAGTTGTGCTCCGGAAACGAAGCCCACCTCTCCCTTTTGAGACGAAGTCTGAATCGTTTCCATGGAAACCAAAAAAATTGTAAATGCAAATACCTGCAAGTAGCAAAAGGCATCACTCTAGGTTCTGTTTGATATAACTACCAATTTTTGCTGAAAAATATTGATCAGTTTTTGAGTTGTGCTCCGGAAACGAAGGCCATATTTCCCTTTTGGGGTTAGCCTGAATCGTTTCCATGGAAACCGGGAAAAATAAAAATGACAAAAATCTGCAAACAGCTAAAGGCACCACTTTAGGATCTGCCTCACATCTCTGCCAAGTTTTGCTGAAAGATATTTAGAAGTTTTCGAGTTGTGCTCCGGAAACGAAGTCCACCCCTCCCTTTTGGGATTAAGTTCAACTCGTTTCCATGGAAACCAAGAAAAATAAAAATGCCAAAAATCTGTAAATAGCAAAAGGCACCACTTTAGCTTATGGTTGATATATCTACCAAGTCTTGAAGAAAGATATTGAACGGTTTTCGAGTTATGCTCCGGAAACAAAATAAAAATGGACAGACGGACAGACAGACAGACGGATAAGGCGTCGACTATATCCCCCCACATTACTGTGGCGATAAAAATAGCAGATAACATTGAAAACAAACTGACCATTGCCCACTTCAGAGTTAATACTCATCATCAGAAACCTATGAACACATACTCACACTGGGACAGCAACCTGGAATATAGTTCAAACTTGTTTTATGTCCCATTTAGCAATGTTTCTACAATATTGACCCGTGAAGATTCGGGTTAGAATTAGACTTCAATAACCCATGCTTGTCGTAAGAAGCAACTAACGGGATCAGGTGGTCAGGCTTGCTGACTTGGTTGACACATGTCATCGGTTCCCAACAGTGTAGATCGATGCTCATGATGTTGATCACTGGATTGTCTGGTATAGACTCGATTATTTACAGACTGCCACCATATAGCTGGAGTATTGCTGCGTGCGGTGTTAAACAACAAACAAACATAAACATAGAGAGAACAAATCCTTCCAATGACAGAGTATGCAGAGAGTGTGATGCTGAAAAACAGGCTGCTACAAGTGTCTGGGTGCTCACCTGCTCCAGCTGGGTGAATCCCTCAATGCCCTTCTGTCCTACAAAGTACCAGACATCTCTGAAGCGGAGGTTCTGTATGAGTCCGCTCCCCATCTGGTTCAGCAACTCCCTGGCCATATAACCCAGTCTGCAACAAGGAGAATCAGTGAGTTTCTGATGGACCCTTGAAGATCCGGGTCAGAATTGATCTTCAGTAACCCATGCTTGTCATAAGAGGCAAACTATCGGGATCGGGGGGTCAGGATCGCTGACTTGGTTGACACATGTCATCGATTCCCAATTGCGCAGATCGATGCTCATGCTGTTGATCACTGGATTGTGTAGTCCAGACTCGATTATTTACAGACCGCCGCCATATAGCTGGAATATTGCTGAGTGCAGCGTTAAACAAGCAACAACAAAAAACAACAACAAAAAAACAGTTTCTGATGTATGATGCCATCAGCAACAGTCCATGGCTACCTGTAAACTTCTCTCCTGTATAAAACAACCATGATAGGCAAGGGTCTTTCCTGCCTTAGGGAGACAAGTGATGTGGGAGCCTTTTCTGACCCAGAATATCATATGAGACAGTGAGTGAGTGACTGACTCTGGTTAAAAATCGCTAAGCAAGATTTCACTTAATATGATTACATATCATAAAAATATTCAGTAAAATAGATGGTTTGTAAAGATTATTACTTCTTAGCGCCGTCGTCTGCAACAAGGGAGATGATGATATCCCTGTCTGCCAGTGATTCCAGTAGTATCTCCAAGTCTGTGCTGTCTGTAAAAGGAAGAGGAGGTGAGGTGAGGTGAAATTGGGTTTAACGTCACACTTAAGAATATTTCCCTAATATGACGACGTGCATGCATGTGTATGTGTGGCTGCTTGTACTAGCCCAGACTTAAGCTGATTTATAGTGCTATCTCACTAAGATACCATGTCGCAGCTAAGCATGAATACCCCACTCAGACACATTATACTGACTCCCAGCCGACCAGTCCTTGTACCCATTAAATTAGCACCAGGCAGGGACTAACTAGTGCCCTATTTTAACATCTTTTGGTATGACGCGGTCGGGGATCGAACCCGCGACCTTCCGCCCTCAGGGGACGAATGCTCTAACCACTACACCACGGAGGCAGTAAAAGGAAGAGGAGCAGAACAAGTATCATCAAAGGCAGGCATGGAGGCATGGAGGCATGGAGGCATGGAGGCCAGGGTCAAAATCATGTTTTCTGCAATGTGATTTATAAGCAGCATGAATTCACCTTGTCACCTCTGAAAAGTTCAGGGGTCCTAGATTCAAATTACTGGAATGATTCCATTTCATTTCAATCCCTAGTCATTAATAATAATAATAATAATAATAATGTTAATTTTTGCACCTAGAATCCAGCACGATGCTGCTCTCCGGCGTTACATTATTACCCTGACGGAATTGTACTTTCAAAGCTGCTACTAAGCGCTTCGCGCGACCGTATAGGTCCGTGCAATGTGGATGAAGTGCCTTGCCCAAGGACACAACACAGTATGAGACCCAGGTCACAAATTTTGGTGTCTCCACCGGGATTCGAACCCAGGCCTTTGGCGTGAGAGGCCAGCATGCTAACCACTACACCGCTGTGCTCCACAGTCATTCACATACAGTCCTTTTAACTGTATTGTGACTTCCAGCAAATTCATCATGACAAATGAGACATCCTAGTCCACAAGCATCTAGGTCAATCTGAGTGCGACCCTCTTCACCCTGTAACCATGGAAACCACAGAAAAATCTTACCATACGTGTAGGTGTCCACTCGTGACATCATCTTAGGAACACCAGTGTCTGGGTCAACAACGATGACGTTAAACCCACGGCCTCCATTGTTCAGATTCTCTGTCATCATCCTGCAGAAGTAACAGTCCTTATTAGGGCTAGGGGGGTGATGATGAATTGTGTGTGTGTGTGTGTGTCTTGTCACCCATTTAGTTCTTGGGAGGTAGGGTACACATTGTACACATGTACTAAGTGGGGGGTCATTAATTTTGTTCATAAAAATATTGAAAAATTATGGGAGGGGTGGGGGGTTGTTCCATTGATTTTTGTACATGACATGCAGTGGGGGTCACTTACTCCGAAAATAAATTTTAGCAGGTGGCATTCACATTGCACATGCTTCTCCATAAAAATGCTTCTCCATCACCCCCAGTAGCCATACATTATAAACAGTCCCTTAACTTTCATGATTTGGAACAGGAGTAAAACGTGGAAGTGAGTGAGTGAGTGAGTGAGTGAGTGAGTGAGTGAGTGAGTGAGTGAGTGAGTGAGTGAGTGAGTGAGTGAGTGAGTGAGTGAGTGAGTGAGTGAGTGAGTGAGTGAGTGAGTGAGTGAGTGAGTGAGTGAGTGAGTGAGTGAGTGAGTGAGTGAGTGAGTGAGTGAGTGAGTGAGTGAGTGAGTGAGTGAAGTGAGTGAGTGAGTGAGTGAGTTTAGTTTTACAAATATTCTAAACCCGGACCTTCGGGTGGAGTAAAACAAGATCTGTATGAGACATGACATAGGCATGTGCTTGGAACGAACAGATATATCAAAAGAACTTTGTACTCAACATTGAAATATCACAATCAGAAAAGGCAAAAACAACAGATTTATGACAGCAATTGGAAAAATTACAGCTCAGCTGATGAGTGAATGATGAGAAGTATATATACATAGTATGTTTTGACAAACAGCAGATTGACATTAACAACATGTACTTGAATAACAACTGGTACATAATTAGGAGGGGCCAGATGGGGACTAAGAACAACAAACACACTGGGCTTATATACTTCTCATCATTTGGTTGTAGTCACTTTTAGCTAAATAATGGTGAAAGAATTTACATCGAAAATGTCGCTCTATGCAATAAACAAGAAGTTGTCATCCATAAAGTTGCATGTTTCATTTTTGTTCACCAACCGAGAATGCTGATCAAAGAATCATTCAAAGACTCAGACAGTGACATCTAACACAGTTCAGTTCCAGTCTGTTCTACTGACTGACTGAGTTTGGTTTTACGCCGCTTTTAGCAATATTCAAGCAATATCACGGTTGGGGACACCAGAAATGGGCTTCACACATTGTACTCATGTGGGGATTCGAACCCGGGTCTTCGGCGTGACGAGCCAACGCTTTAACCACTAGGCTACCCCACCGCCCCCTCCAGTCTGTTATAAGCGAGGGTTCTCTTCTACTGACTTGACACTCACAGATGGCCACTGATGCAAATCTCTGGCTGAATCTTGTTTCCCTCCCCCGAGAAGACGCTGACAGGGAAGGAGTGTGGTCCGCAGGACTCCGGCACCCCACAGTTGGCGATGGACGGACCCAGCTGCATCTCCTTCTGGTGAATCACCTGTGGCAACAGCTGCTGTAGGTCTCGCTTAGGCCCCACTGCAACCACCAGGTATCACACACACAGTGCTTCAGTCACATCGGTGTAAATAAATACACAATGCCATTTAGAAAGTGGTCAAAAGTAACATATGTTAACTTAGGATAACATATTCACAGTAAAGTTCAGATTCTAGGGTTCCATCTGGGATTAGAAAGAGGTGTAGTTCCAAATATGACATGTTACACATGATGTGGAGTGAGTGAGAATGCTTTTACGTCACTTTTAGCAATTTTTCAGCAATATCATGACAGGGGACACCAGAAATGGGCTTCACACATTGTACCCATGTGGGGAATCAAACCCGGGTCTTCAGCCTGACAAGCAGGCAACTTTAACCACTCACGCTACCCCCCGTCCCTGATGTGGAGTGAGTGAGTGAGTGAGTGAGTATGGTTTTACGTCACTTTTAGCAATTTTTCAGCAATATCATGACAGGGGACACCAGAAATGGGCTTCACACATTGTACCCATGTGGGGAATCAAACCCGGGTCTTCAGCGTGACGAGCAAATGCTTTTACCACTCCACTGCCCCTCATATGATGTGGAAAGTCCACATGGATGCATGTGGCTGATGCTGACCACATGGGTGAAATAAACCCCCAGATTAGTGGGTGTAGGCTTAATAGCCATTCTGTCAGTATTTTGGTGATCTCATGTCTGTCAGCTGGTATGTTTTGTGTTTCATTCAACTCTGCAGACATTTCATTGTTAGCTCATTAACCAGTGTATTTGTTTGCGTGTTTGTTGTTTAACGCCACACTCAGCAATATTACAGCTAAATAGCAACAGTATGAAATTAATCCAGACATATCCAGTGGTCAACAGCGTGATCATCGACCTACACAACTTTGACACAATGACATGTGTCAACAAAGTAAGCAAGCCTGACCACCCGATCCCGTTAGTCGCCTCTTAACGACAAGCATGGACTGCTGAACAATTGTAACCTGGATCTTCACAAGCAATCAGTATAAGAAATTAGGCCTGGCAATCAAGGGGTCCTTTTCATCGTCCTGACATTAAAAGGTAAAGATTTGAGGTTCCCAAGATTCAAATACTATAGGATCAAATTTCAAAGACCATCCTGTATTCTAAATACAGCTAATGAGTGGAAGGTTTTCAGTGACATAGTGAGTTTTAGTTTTACGCCGATTTTGGCAATATTCCAGCAATAACACGACAGGGAAAACGTGAAATGGGCTTCACACATTGTACCCATGTTGGCAATCGAACCCGGGTCTTCGGCATGACGAGCAAACGCTTTAACCACTAAGCTACCCTACCGCCCTTTCAGTGACATACGAACTGTGTACCAGCACTTGAGTAGAACAGAACAGAACTGAAGAGGTTTAACATAAACATATCAAGGTGTTCACTTACTTGGCAGAGAAAAACAACCTGCTTTCTCCATGACATCCGAGAAGTCTTGATTGTTCTTTCTCTTCACAACCTGCAAGGGATATACCGCCTTTCATATACACTCTATAGGGATAACAGTGAGCTGGGCTTTTGACATGTCATGAAACAGTTGGAGAAACTTGGTGGACAGGTGAGTAAAGGGGCTTAATGCAGCTTAAAGCAGTATTCCAGGTATATCACCGTGTGTTAGCTTAATGAGTGAGAGGAGGATGATGTCTCAGACATTTACAACTCTGCTGACTAAGTGAGTGAGTTCATTTTTACGATGCTTTTAGCAATATTTTAGCAATATTCCAGCAATATCATGCGGGGGACACCGGAAATGGGCTTCACACATTGTAATCATGTGGGGAACTGAACCTGTGTCTTCGGCGTGATGAGCGAACGATTTAACCACTAGGCTACACCACCGCCTGTACCCCTCTGCTGAAACCCACAATCATGGATATGAAGCTGACAGGCCTCAGATTCGGGCGAACGAAGATTCCAACCCACGATAAAGGATTTCTGGCAAGCCCAAGGGATGCGGTGAGGTGAGGTGAAATTGGGTTTAACGTCGTGCTTGAGAATATTTCGCTCATATGACGACGTGCATGCATGTGTATGTGCGGCTGCTTGTACTAGCCCAGACTGAAGCTGGTTTTATAGTGCTAGCCCACTGAGATACCATGCCGCAGTGAAGCATGAATACCCAACTCAGACACATTATACTGACTCCCAGCCGACCAGTCCTTGATGTACCCATTAATGCCGAGCGCCAGGCAGGGGCCAACAAGTACCATATTTTAACGTCTTTTGGTATGACGCGGTTGGGGATCGAAACCCGCGACCTTCCGCTCTCCGGGCAGACGCTCTAACCACTACACTGCGGAGGCGGTCCCCAAGGGATGCAATGACAAACTGCAGCAGCTCACATAACTGGACCACCCTGTTGACAGGTACCAGCCAGAAATTCAACAGATCAGTGTACACCAACTCACATATTCAATGGCATGGCCCTCCTTCAGCCCCTTCTGGCCAATCATTAGGAAGCCATCACGGAACTGCAAGTTGTCAGCTCCAGAACTCCCAAAATATTTTAGCCATCTTTTCCCATCTTCCTTCAGGCTGCAAAAAAACAAAATGTCTAACTGGGACATTGTAACATTACACACTCTGACAGACTGCTATTTCAACATGATCGATGATGCCTAATGAGCTCAAAAGACTAATCACTCCAAGAGGACCAACTCACTCCAAGAGGACCAAATTACTTCAAGATGACCATCTTTCTATAAGAAGACCAACATACTTCAATAGGACCAACTTACTGTAACTTAGTGTAAGAGCACCAACTTACTTCCTGAGGAACAACTAACTTTAATAGGACCAACTTTCTCAAGATGACCAACTTACTTTCTATAAGAAGACCAACTTACTATAAGAGGACGAACTTACTTCAAAAAGACCATCTTTCTATAAGAAGACCAACTTACCATAAGAGGATCAACATACTATAAGAACACCAACTTACTTCAAGATGATCAACTAACTTTAATAGGACCAACTTACTTCTGAGGACCAACATACCACAAGAGCACCAACTTACTTCAAGAGGACCAAAATAGTATAAAAGTATTAAGCAGTTTAAATCATGACTAACTGTTGAATTGTATCTATCATTAGATTTTCATATTTGTATTAGGTCTGTTGTCGCAAGATTTAGATGTTGTAATTATGGACTAGCAGCAGAAACAAGCCGTTACGATGGTACTGAATATTTAAAGCGACTCTGCCCTTTTTGCTTTAAAGATGGATTATCTTTTGTGGAAGATGAATATTATTAAAATCTAAATATTTTAGATATTTAAATACTTACCTTACCATAGGTCTTATGCATATTACCTCAAGCTCCGCTTAAAAGAGATCAGACAGTCATTGATTCGCCATTCTCTAGAATGGCTGCCTCAAGTATCGACGAATGCACAGGAACAGAGTGTACAGGCACTTGACCACCAAAACAGAGTTAAGAGCCGATAAATAAGTTCCTATATTGTTGCCCTTGAGACGCCGGGACTTCCGAAGGAAAAGTAGGAACTCTGCTATAAACTGAGGAGAAGTTTTCAACGGGTCCTTGGACTTCTGTGAACAAAACTTCTCAAAGGAAGTCCACTTATCATCATAGAGTGATCTTGTGGCGACTCGATGAGCACGAGCAATAACCTTGGCTACACCCGTGGAGAAGCCCTTGGCCTTCAGTGCCTTTTGCAGATGATCCAACCGTACAGATGAAATCGAGTCGGACAAGCTTGTTTGTCTAACAGAGTCTGAATGTTGTCTGCTAGCAGTAACTGTTGGTCTGAAGCATACACGCGTGACTGGGGCGTTGTAGTCAGAGGCGGCAACACGGCAATTGGCAGCTTGTAACCAGTCTTGAGAATGTTGGTCACAAACGGATCTTCTAGGACTGTCCAATTGGGCCAGAAGATTCCCAGTTTCCCGCCTACTGGAGTAGGATGAACCGGCACGGCTGGGGGCGGGAGTTCCCGCTCGTGTCGGTTCCAAACTTCAGCGACCTGAGTAAGAGCTTCCCCTGCCGGGCGGGCGTCGAAGCAGACTCCCGGGGACAGTCCTGCTGACGGCGCTGAAAATCGGGGTCGGGCCTGCCAGGTCCTCTGCCAAAGGCGCTACGGACGGAGTCTCTTCTCGGGACGTAACAGCGCTTCCCTCTACCCCTTGTAGACGACTTGCCACGAAAGGCTGAACTCATAGTTTCCAAAGTAGACAGGGACACCTCAGTATTAGTAAGCTCCGTGTGCTCCTTATAAACGTCCGGAATCCGGTCATCAAAGAGGAAGCGAGACACGAAAGGGGCTCTCAAAAGCCTTTTTTTTAACTCTTCCTTGCAAGAGCAAGGCTCAAGGAGGTGAGGTGAGGTGAAATTGGGTTTTACGTCGTGCTTGAGAATATTTCAGTCAACTCTCTCGTTAATCCGACACTTGTGGTTGCAGAGAAATATGTCGGATTAACGAAAATGTCGGATTAATGAAAATGTCGGATTAATGTATTTGTGTGAAAATATCAATGTTTACTAAATGTCATGATCGTCATACTGTTGCATGCATACATTAGAAATGGTAGATCTAGTTATCTTCATCGTTATGTAAAAATATTCACAGAAATAAGAAATACTAACAATACATACTTGGTTTCATTTATTAACATTCATAGATGGCATAACATACATATATAATCACATAAGCAAACAGTTTCACATCTATTTCATGACCACATTGGCACAAAACTCACGTTTGTTTTACCGCATATCAGCTGCCATTATGACCGGATGTTGAATATGTTACAGTTTCCATACAACTAATTCCATAATAACATGTGGGCGTCTAATGTACAATCAAGTGTATCATAACATATATAATTTATAACTTGAAAAGTCTTTGATGGTCATTAACATCAAACACGCTAAGTGGTGTGTCAGAAATGTTTGCAAAGTGTTCCAGACCTCAGATAGCTTGAAGCATTGGAATCAGTCGTAGAGAGCGGCTCAACCACTAAGCAGACCGCTTCAGGATGTCAGTTGATCTCAGCACATCAAACTTCTGCTCAGCATACTTCTTGTTGTGCTGTCTGGGGTTTTGTCTTTCTTCAAAAGGAGATTTCTTTCTTGATCATTGGCGTAACTTCTACAAGGGGTAAGCATGAATACAAACATCTTGTGATGAAAACTCATGTCGGTTTGTAAACATTTTATACAGCTCGCTCTACTGTTATTTCAAATCGTCTCAATTAAATCCTGTGTTCCTACTCCTGACGCCCGGTGTCAAAGCACATGCTAATTACCACTCCGTGTGATTGTTTGTATATGGTCGGATCAGTCCTTAGCTGTACCCAGTTAATGCTGAGTGCCAGACAGAGGGTACCAACAAATGGTTCCCCTAATTTTTGTCATATTTTAGCGGACTTTGTGGTATATGACATGGTATGTGCGGCTGCTTGTACAAGCCCAGACTGAAGCTGGTTTTATAGTGCTAGCCCACTGAGATACCATCGAACCTAACTCCAAGCGACCAGTCCTTGCTGTACCCATTAATGCTGAGTGCCAGACAGGGACCAACAAGTACCATATTTTAACGACTTTTGGTATGACATGCTCTAGTCTAACCACTACCCTCTTGAGCTCTGCGTCAATAGCCAACATCTTAGAGTCCTGCACTCGGTAAGAAGACTGTGGAGAACCCGATAAACGTTTGAGGGATTCATCATGAGCCGCGCCTCCATCACTGAAATCCAAACTATGTATTTTGTAGTCCACTTTGCGCGACTTAGGAGCCTTAATAGTAGTATTGAGAGACAGTTTAGCAAAGTCGGCATCCAAAGGGGACACAGCATCGGCCACCATCGGGTGAGGCGGGAGGAGTAACTCAGGAGAAGACCGAATAGCTTTCGGGTTGTCAGAGCCTGAAGAGGGAGAAGGACAATCCAGCAGCATGTCGGCAATCCAGTCAAACACAGCAGATATGGGGAGGTAAGTACCCCCATCATCCTCCTCTTGTAACATCCCCTCGTTATAATCGGGAGAAAAATAGCGCTCCTAAGTGTCCTCCCAGGACACGGTAGTAGCATTATACCATTGGCCAGAAGCAGCAGGGGTCGGGTGCTCAGATGACAGCTGAGAAACAGCACTAAAGATAACTGTAGGGGAACGTGGTCGTCGCAGCGAGTGGCAAAAAGGAGGCAACCTCGAACGGGACCAACGGTAGCGCCTCCCACGAGTCGGTGACCTGGACCGCCTCTCCATATCATTGGAACGTCTGGGAGAGCGAGACCTGCTATCAGACCGACGATGGCGATGATTAGCATCAGAACTATGACGAGGACTCCTAGAACGATATCGAGGAGACCTAGAGCGAGATCGCTTAGAACGATGGGAGCACTCAGCTTCCTGGCGTCGGGAACACTCTTCCAAAAACTGACGCTGTAAATCCTCCTCTCCAGACATCGTAGACAACAGGTGCCTTCTTGGGGATACAGTAGTCTGATAACGGCGTCGGCATCGGTGTGCTGGTTGATGCAACAATCCAGCAACGTCAGAGCTAGGTGAGATGGCCGGCGGCGCTGGAACTGCACTGGGAAACGCAGAAGTCAGCGCTGGGACAGCGCTAGGTAACGAGGGTGTCAGCGCTGGAACGGCGCTAGCTTGGGCTGCAACTACTGCAGGCAAGAGGAGCGTCCTTAGAAGCTTCTGCACCTCCGGATGAGATAAGGCGTCCGGCCGAGATAAGTCAACGAAGGCGTCAGACGGACACTGGGCTTCAGGCGTCAGCATTCACGGTCAGGTGTAGACGTCTGTTCTGCTAAAGGAGAGGAGTGTCCGTCCGGCGTTCGTGGAAGAGAAGATCAGGACCCAAAAGAAGAAGCAGGTGAAGACATCTTCCTCTTACGTTGTGACAACCGTTTCTTCTTAGCGGCAGTATAAGCCTTAAAATCAGCGACGGACAACGGAGTGCAAAAATGACAAGGCTCAGCGAGCGAACAGGAAACTGAAACGCAGTCCGGGCACCAAGGGTGGGGATCCCTAGCAGACTTCTGCACCTTGCAGATGCGGCAAAACTGACAGGTCATGCACACAAAAGCTGTAACACGCGGAAAAGTGAAACGTAAGCAATACGTAAACACACAGAAAAAAACAAACCTGCAGAGAAAATGGAAACCCCCCTGCAGCAAGAATGGGCACGCCCAAGCAGGCGGAACAGTAAAGTAAACAACCTAGATGGCTGCCCCCACTGAGCCGAGAAGAGTGTGAAACAAGCACAAATTAGGCAATAATATCAAGATACACAAAACCAAGCATGAACATTATGGTGAAAGAGACATAGGAGTATACAATACACCAAACATGCCTAGCGAAGTGACACTCGCGACTCGGGAACACACCCCACACCGAAGTGAGAGACACGAGGCAGCCAGGTAAGTGAAGTTTACTTTAATCATGTTCGTCACCCACACAGAGAAGAATATAGGATATAAAAAGCATACATACCAAGAACAAACAAGAACTTTAATATCTGAAAGTATCAGCAGGTAGCAAACTAGCGAAATCAAAAATGTCTGACACGAAGTGCGCTTGAAGTAAAAGTGACTGCGCGGGAGGGGAGATCATGTCACTTCCATTCCTGTTCACTCGTCGATACTTGAGGCAGCCATTCTAGAGAATGACGAATCAACGACTGTCTGATCTCTTTTAAGCGGAGCTTGAGGTAATATGCATAAGACCTATGGTAAGGTAAGTTCAAAACTCATGTATTATTTGTGTGTAAACAATATGCAACCATAAAAAGCACATATATTTTCAAACATGTAACATCAGTATCACATCAGTCTGTTATATATATTATGGCATCAGATAAATGTAGTGTTGTCTATGATATTGGTCCGTTCTTACTTAAGGTGTATAAACCTAGAATTGCCCTTACACGTGAAAGGGTCGTGTGATAAGTGTACATATCACAGGTAAATCCATATGCCTGACAACTCTTGCATGGAATAATTCATGGACTCTATATTGTGTATTTATGCGTGGATTGTGAAAGTTAATCCAAGGTTGTAACAGCCTTGATACTGGAATAAAATGTCTGTCTGTCTGTTAAAAGGACCAACTTACTTCCAAGGACAAACACACCATGAAAAGACAACCCACTGTGACTCATCTCAAGGGCAACTCACCTTGAGGAGACTTCATCGTAACTGCTCATGATTACAACTGTCTCTGCTGGCATCTTCTTGAGGAATCTTATCAACCCTGAGTCTGAAAAAGGTTCAAGAACGTACCTTAAATATCTGTCAGCTTTGTCCTACCTTCTCAGACAACATACGTCATCAGGACATGGATAAGATTAAATTATATCATTCTCCTCATTCCACGACAGTTACAAGCCACATGGTTAAACATTCACTTAATGAATGCTCCCACAATTATTTTCAACATTTTTAATACTGCACATAACAAAGAAAGTAAAACTAACCTTCCACATAGGTGTCAAATGTTTTAATATCTGTCACATCAAATGTTTTCTCTGAAAAATATAACAAAATATGTACATAGCTAATGCATATATATAAGTATTGTTCTTTGCTGGGTCTATGACATCAAGATTTTACCGGACACAAAATACCACACATACAACATGAGTTTGGACAAGTTGCACTGCAGGTCCCATGGCATGTAAAGATATCATAAAACAGAATTCAATTCTGACCGTACCAGGTAGCATCTCCATGTCTGAGTCAACTTTCACTGTCCATGTCTGAGTGAGCAGTGTTCACGAATGCTGTTTCAAAGTAACAGGACATAGAGTCCTGTAAGTTTCAGATGTCTGTCTGACCCATTGAAAATTCACAGGACCCATAGAATTAAATTAAACACACATTTCAGATTTAACATTTCTTATAATTGGCATTGAAATTATTAACAAGCATAATATTTATAAACAGCAAACAAGTGTCACATGTCACATATAACAACTTCAGTCAAAGTCATTGTGAAATATACAGTCAGACATTGGGACCGACGGGTGGTAGACTTCTATTGGACCGTTGACGAATCTTCTGGATTTGTCAGGGTCAGACGCTATTCATGAATACTGAGTGAGTGATCGAATATTGTTTAACGCCACATCAGCAGTTTTGCAGCTATTCGCAGTGAGCTGTCCATGTCTAACTTTTTATCTAAATCAACATCTTGGACATGGTTTATTTCAAACAAGAAAGTCACATCCATAATTTTCATATGGTTGAAAATACTACGTTATTTGTTGCTGTACAGCAGTCAGCTTGGGAAATGCACTATGTGCACTACATGTGTACGACCCCCCAAAATCATTCCTGAAAGTCTCCAGAAGATGACAACAAAATGCTCCAGATACATACTTCGGTAATATCTACCATCTTCATGAAATCAAAACAATGGTGGATTATGAGATGGTGATGACATGACATGCACGTAATGGCACCTCAAACATGACGTCATGATATCCATGCAAGCAAAGCTAACTTACACGGTGTACCAAGATGGTGGCTGGCCAGTCTGATAGTTTACTGGGTAAAGACAAAGCATTATTCACATCATATAATCTTACCACTGATAGAGATGATGTTCAAACCCCGGCCAAAGTTCTTCATTTCCGGGCTTATTAACCTGTGAAGATATGAAATATAATAAACATACACACATGGCTTCCTTGTCAGTCAATTTTACTTCAGGAGTGAATCCTGAATTAACATTTTGTTTGTTTGTTTGTTTGTTTGTTTAACGCCGCATTCAGCAATATGGCGGCAATCTGTAAATAATTAATGGACCAGACAATCCACTGATCAACATCATGAAATACTGATCTAAGCAAATGGGATACGATCACACATGTCAAATAAGCCATCGACTTTGACCACCCGATCCCGTTAGTCGCATCTAAGTTACAACAAGCATGGGTTGCTGAAGACCAATTCAAACCCGGGTCTTCACGGGTCTGATTTTACATCATTGGCACAGTATGTGTCAGCAATGTTTAAAACTTATCACAGGAGACTACAAACAATGGGTCAGTCAAACTATTGGTTGACAGGATGCATGTTGTTGTTTAAAATCAAACAAACAAAAAACAAAACAAAAAATGTCATGTCATGTCATCTCATAAGACACTCAAATCTCAAGTAACATGTTTTATGTAAAACTCCATGAAAGTAAGAGTGAATGAATGAGTGAGTTTAGTTTTACGCCCCTCTCAGCAATATTCCAGCTATATGGCTGTCTGTAAATAATCGAGTCTGGACCAGACAATTCAGTGATCAACAGCATGAGCATCGATCTGCACAATTGGGAACCGATGACATGTGTCAACCAAGTCAGCGAGCCTGACCACCCGATCCCGTTAGTCGCCTTTTACGACACGCATAGTCGCCTTTTATGACAAGAATGGGTTGCTGAAGAAAGTAAGAAAGATAAGATAAAATCATGCTAAAGAATGACCTGAATCAACCTTTAACAAAATGACTGAGTATAGTGTTACACCACTTTTAGCAACTATCCAGCAGTATCATGGCGGATACACCAGAAATGGGTTTCACACATTGTACCCATGCAGTGAATCGAACTTTGATCTCCGATGTGATAAGCATACGCTTTAACCACTAGACTATCCCACCTCCCTTAAACAAAGTAAGAAAAGCAACTGAGTAAGATCACGTGTACTGACACTTCTCCCTCAAAGCAGATGGTTGGCCCAGCCTTGTTGCCATCTCCAGTCCGCACATAGAATGCAAGTTGGTTGTTCTCACACTTCACTCCACATCGTGAATCTGGAGAAAAACATTATGCAATAATGTGTTCAGGCAAAGCTGTATAAAACAAATATGCACAAATATTACACAGAGTGATTAAATGTGTTTGTTCTCAGTTTAACACTGCATTCAGCAATATTCCAGGCGGTCTGTAAACAATCGAGTCTGAACTAGACAATCCTGTGATCAACAACAAGAGCATCAGTGTCCCCAATTGGGTGTGATGTTTGAATGGCATCTTTATTAGAAACTGAGACGAATACAGCAATGAGCGTGTGTGTTTTTCATTTACTGAAAAATCTGAACACAAACCAAACAGCGTTAATTTTTTCCCAAAGATGTATAGTTTATCCATTCACCATAATCTGATGAAGTGATTACCTGACAGGTTCCATGAGCCCCGAACATCCCATATTTGCCGATCTGAAAATAGAAAGATACCACCATACTAAGCCATTATTCACATATGATTCTGAACACACATTTAGTTTAAGGGAAGTTTAACCCCACACTCAGCAATGTTCCATCTATGTGACTCTCGTCTGTAAATACTCGAGTCTGGACCAGACATGATTATTGATCTATGCAAATGGGGTGCGATGAGATGTTTCAGTCTAGTCCCTTTTGTCACCTCTTACAAGCAAGGGTTGCTGAACACAACCATCTATATAACCCAGATTTTCACGGATAACGAACATTTGTGCACGTAAAACTGATGCAACTGGGTGAGGTGAGATGAAATTGGGTTTAACGTCGTGCTTGAGAATATTTCGCTCATATGAGGACGTGCATGCATGTGTATGTGTATGTGCGGCTGCTTGTACTAGCCCAGACTTAAGCTGGTGTTATAGTGCTAGCCCACTGAGATACCATGCCGCAGTGAAGCATGAACACCCCACTCAGACACATTATACTGACTCCGAGCCGACCAGTCCTTGTTGTACCCATTAATGCCGAGCGCCAGGGAGGGACCAACAAGTACCATAGTTTAACGTCTTTTGGGTATGACGCGGTCGGGGATCGAACCCGCGACCTTCCACTCTCCAGGCGGACACTCTAACCACTACACCACGGAGGCGGTCAGATTAATTAGAACTACAGGACATCAGCAAAGTTATGGAGAAATTGCATATCAACCATGACTCACAGATAACTGTAAACAACAAACACGTCTTGTTTCAAGTGTGATTAAGAACATAAACTTACTTGATCCAGCCAGTATTGCCTGTACACAGTACAGAATGACTACCACACATACAGCAATCAGCATAAACCTCCTCATCCCTGAAACAGACATTGATAAGGTCACTCAGAAAACAGCAGATAATCATTAGGGTTTAGTGCTGGAGTGATTGATCGAATAACCGGTTGATCAATCAATCGATCTCGCTTGTGTCAGCAATTATCAGCTCCGGAGATTAATTGATATTCATTAAACAATGAAACATCAACCTAACTTTAGAAAGTATGTTTCTTATTGTTATGTTTGTTAAATCAAGACATAAACAACTGATAAAGTTTCCTGATTTGTAAAATGTAAACAGCACTTGCGTGCATGTCTGAACAGGAAGTACCTCGATCGTCTTGATCATGCCTGTTTGCATCATGTTATAACTTGTCCGATTATTGCTCACATCAGTTTTGTGGTGGGGTTTATGATTATCAAGCTGCATATTGTGAGTGATAACCAGCATTATTAGAGCTGCCATTATGCATTCAAATTTACACTTGACGATACAATATTCACAATAGCTACCCAATCATTAACTCATGATTCATTCTGCATCAATTTCCAGCAGGAAATCTGTTCAAAATACCATCACAATTATCACTATAATTGCTTAATGCTCATAGAAAATGGCTAAGTTAATCCATAATGAGATTATTCCATGTTCATGATAAGTCTTTGTAATCTCATTTGCCTTGAGAAGTTTTTCTTCAAGTAATGTGCCAATTCTATAGTATCATGGAGATGTTTCACAATGAATATCTGCAAACTATAGAAATCTGAAATTGAACCAAATGTGCTGAGTTAGAGCGTTGTGTTTTCAAGCTACTTAAAAAATCAATATTCAATTAATCATATCCCACCTCCAAATTTCTTGATGACGAGTCGTCGAAGTCCCCGTACCATCATGGTGACGGTGTCGTGGCGCTGCTGCTGCTAGAACCTCTCCTCTTGCTCTTCTTGGCCATACTGTTACACTTTCTTTCTCACTGCTGATTTCATGCTATGCTGAAAGCAAAGTAGGAAAAAGGTATTAAAATTAGTCCGTTTGACTTCATTTCAGACTGATGAATTGCTCACTAACACAAAATCTAATAAATGCAACAAAATCAAACTTTGCACAGTCACATGAAATCGACGACCAACTCTGATGATTTGTGTCATAATTTCGGACACCCGAATAAAAACGTTGTTTAACAAATGATCATTATTTTGTTGTCACTTCTCGCTATTTCTTACGAGGGGGACCACTTGCTGGTAGAACAGCCAGGTAATCAACAAGTGTGTGCATAGAAATTTCAATTTCACAAGTACAACTAGCTCACCTAAAGTCACTTGCCAAAGGAGACACCACACATACTTCAGCAACATGTGCTTTAGTGTCCGACAAAATTAAAAGCCAAGGAAACTGGTCACTCTCCACAACCAACACTGTGCTGAACTGCCCCTGATTTATGATGCTGTTCACAAGACTGTGTGCCTCCACAAAACAAACTATTGCATGAAATTTAACCCTCTAGCAGTGAAAATGAAAACGAGAGAAAATAGTTTGCAGTTTCTCAAAACATATTGCACAACAGTATGCTATTAAACATGGGGATCGCCTCCATGGCTTAGTGGATGCCCAGAGAATGGGAGGTCAATAGAGGTTAAAAGATAATACTTTATAGAGTACTTTTTGCTGCCTTGTCTAGCACTATTTTTGCATAAATGGGATAAACAAAAGACTTGTTGGCTCTGAATCAGTCACAGACAGACTGCTTTAAAAGCAAAAGTCAAAGCACCCAAAATAACAAAATATGCCAGATGGTAAGTGAATGTCATCTTTTAACAAGCGTTGACAATATGCACATAACATATCACAGTATCAACTATCCCTGTCCTTGAACATTATATTTGTCTTCCTGTTGACTTAAAACTAAATGTTTGAATTCAAAAACATGATGTCTTATTCTCACGTCTTTCTCCTGAACACATTGTATTTTGAACATGTTCTCTGTGACCATTTTCTCTACATTGTTTCAGATTAGAAGTTGACCTTTAATTTTAGACAATGAAATACAAAGAGAGGTCTGTAAGAACAACACGTGACAATCAAACAAAACATCATCATTATATCAAATGACAAGCAAAAATATATGCGAGGTCATCCTACCTAACTGCCCTCTGTGTACAATATTGTGCAGTTCAAGTGCCCGTTGTGTATAATCACTGTATGTGGTGCAAGTTAGTTTTTCTTATGAAAATGAAAGGGTTCGAAACAGGTGTTGAAATAGCAGAAAAAGTATGAGCTGAACAATAGACAGCAAATTCCCATTGGAACTGATTTAATATATTTGAACAAGACAACTGATTTCGTCCAAAATGGGATAGGCTGGTCTCGTTCACGGCTTCAGATTTCGATGTTTTGGTTAATTTCTGTCTGTAGCAACAAATAATCACAAAATAATTACCCATCATCAATTGTTTTTTCAATAGTAATCGGAAACCAAACATCATTTATTTGAAATAAGTACTAATTATACCTTAAACTCGGGTAAAAGTTCGCATAATGTCCATCTCGGGGCGAAGATGAAGAAGAGGAATCGCCATTCCCAAGGGCAATAACTCTGCCCATTGTCATGTGATGCATACCTCTAAGCATTATTGTGGCAAAAATGAGATTTGAAAATAGTTGCAAGAAATAAAGCGTCTTATGAAATAAGGAGTACTTGATGTAGACCCTTGACTAAAATACTCTTAACGTGGAATATCAAGGAAGAAATGTAAAGTAAGCCGATCAACCCCTAAAAGCAGTCGGAAACTGAAATGTAGGTAAAGCCTGAGTTACCACACGCAGGCCTGGTATCACAGTCAGCCTCATGCAACAATGGTTTCGCCGTTTTTAATAAATACTACTGAATGCAATTAAACTTTAGGAAACCTGATTCAATCGCGTTTGATAGGTCGTGTATAAAAAGACTACGAAAAAAAACCAGATCGTAACTGGGTAAAATAGTGCGACAATATCAGTTTACTTGGACGTACTCAATAAACAATAGATATGACACATATAGCAATTATTAGCCCCGTGTTTCGTTATGGTAAATATAAAAAAACCTTGAATATAAATAACGGCTTGATTTATTTTCACAAAAAATATCGTATCAACGTACTGATGCACGAGAGGGTTAATCATAATTTCTTTATCATAGCTGGTCATTCTAAAACGATCGTTCTGTAAGTTTAGCATCTCAAAGGAAATTTCATGAAGCATCTGGGAATATAGATGTTTAAAGATTGAAAAAACGTTTCTGGGAAGCTCATTTACATATTTATTAAACCATGACTCCAAATTATCAATTCTGGTTTGTTGCATTGATAACACTGCATAAAGTATCTATTGATGAAAGTGTGTCCACGTGACGAACGTATTTTGAGATGCCCCCCCGTCACCCATCACTTCACCTGACAGGTGTGCTGACATTGATGGGTTTGACACAGACGTTTAGACATGTCGACACTGCCACTGATGTATACTACTGCAGGGTGCACATATATCATGAATTAGAAAGGTTAGGGGGAAATGCACCCCCTCTGGATCCGCCCCTGCGCTGTCATCATGTATTAATCAGCTACTACTACCACCACCACCCGGGTTTTTTTAAGCCTGTTTATTTTTTTACAACGGAAGCTACGCCCATGGTGTGTGTGCGTGTGCGTGCGCGCGTGCGTGAAAAACGCCTTCATGTGGATGAAGAGTAATAATTTGAAATCCATAAATCATTCTGTTTTTATTGATAAAATAAACCCTCCAACGTACGTATTTACTATATAACGCCAATATGACAGCGGCCAGTAAATAATCGAGACAATCCCGTGGTTGATATAGTGAGCAATCTCAACGCAGAACAATGGCACGCCTTCATGACACTAACAGTGTTTGGTCGCCCGTGTAGATGTTACATGGCGATTCTCACCTGGTTGTGACTATTACCAGCGAAGTTTTATAAATCAAATAACGGATCGCTAAATAAAAATAAAACAGGCTTATTGCCTTGTTGCGATGTTTTCGACTATTTAAAGGCCGCAAATAACAAATGTCATATTTGGGATTACCTTCTCTCAGTAAAGTACAGATGCTAGTGTGTGTGTGTGTGTGTGCGTGCGTGCGTGCGTGTGTATGGTTTTACGACGCTTTTAGCAACATTCCAGCAATAACACGGCGGGGGGCACCAGAAATGGGCTTCACATCGTACAGATGCTTGTACTTAGTTATTTCCCTTCCGTGATTCTCCTTGTGAGGCACGGGAGAGCGGAAGGTGGCGGGTTCGATCCCCGACCGCGTCATACCAAAAGACGTTAAAATATGGTACTTGTTGGTCCCTGCCTGATTTCTCGGCATTAATGGGTATTAACGTATGCCAATAAACAAGGACTGGTCGGCTCGGAGTCAGTATACTGTGTCTGAGTGGGGTATTCATGCTTCATTCATGTAGCATGGTATCTCAGCGAGCTAGCACTATAAAACCAGCTTAAGTCTGGGCTGAGTACAAGCAGCCGCACATACACATACACACGCATGCACGTCGTCATATGGCGAAATAATCTCAAGCACGACGTTAAACCCAATTTCACCTCACCTCACCTCACCTTGTGAGGCACCTAATCGCCAGCACACAATGTCAGCAATCTTACCCACTCGGCCACCGTGGCTACCTACAAACTGCGGTAGTCTAGGCCACAGACCTTGCGTAACCCTCTGACGAGTGTAAACTGACATGGCAAATTAAAGGTGGAAATAAATATAAACTTTTCAGAATTCGCAGTTTTAAGGTGGAACATGTACGTGGCAATCCGTATTTATAATTCTATCTGTTTGAGTAATTAAGATGCTGGGTCCTTATTCTTTAAATGAAACGTAATCAGTCTGGCTGTCAACATGAGGGGCTCATTTTGCAAGTTAACTCCGTTTCCACTAATGAGTATATCAGGTGTGAAGGTCACTGAGATAACTGTTTCCGACTACGTGCACAGATAAAGATTTGTAAGCGTAGTGGTTGTGGTGGAATTGGGTTTAACGTCGTGCTTGAGAATATTTCGCTCATATGACGACGTGCATGCGTGTGTATATGTACGTGCGGCTGCTTGTACTAGCCCAGACTGAAGCTGGTTTTATAGTGCTAGCCCACTGAGATACCATGCTGCAGTGAAGCATGAATACCCCACTCAGACACATTATACTGACTCCGAGCCAACCAGTCCGCGTTGTACCCATTAATGCCGAGCGCCAGGCAGGGACCAACAAGTACCATATTTTAACGTCTTTTGGTATGACGCGGTCGGGGATCGAACCCACGACCTTCCGCTCTCCGGCGGACGGACGCTCTAACCACTACCCCACGGAGGCGGTCTGTAAGGGTAGTCTAAAACCCCAGAATTAGACATAACTCTATGACAGTTCAAATAAAACTGCATTTGGAGACATGATATTAAGTGAAATTGAACATTCTGGTCTGATGCTCAGAGAGAATGTTACACACATTAATTTTTTTTTCAGTCCAGTTTCTCATTAAAAGTTGCTGAAAGTTTGGTCAACATTTTCCAATGGGCATATTATATTTCAATCATGATACATGAAAAACGCGTGATATGAATACTATCAATAAAGCAGCCATGGTGGCAATGTTTGGAATTAGATTGAGACACCATGGATGGGATTAATTGTACAATATGTAGCTTCCTGGGCCTTGAGGTTCTAGAGGCGATGGTGAGGGAGCAAACTAATGAGGAGATATTCGGGACAGTGTACAATGGCTCAGGTGTCCTAGCAAGTGACGGTCCATAAACTGACACGCCCCAATTTGTCCACATCCTTAATGATCAAACATTTTATAAGGATCAATGTCCAATGTCGGAAAGCAATCTTTACAGTACTTAGGATCTTCCACTTTGTAGTGCTTTCATTCTTTGAAGTTTTGGCCGCGCATAAACAGTTGTTTTGTTCAGGAACAGTCAGTTGACAGTGACAATGTATTTACATCTGTCCTGGATATTTTTCACAAATCTAGTGGCCTGCCTACACCTTAGGGAGACATGGACTCAAATACGCAATTCCATCAACTACACACGATCCACGGTGCCACCATTTCCTGAAGGAAGTTCGACAATACACGTGACCATAACTGTGACGCCTGCAGCTATACTGGATCTCGATTCTGTGGAACAACTTTTAACATTCACTGGAGTTCTCACACTTTCCTGGGCTGATCCAAATCTCTCTTGGAACAAGTCAACGTACCAGGGTGTTGATGTGATTGATATTGAGCCACAGGCAATGTGGACACCGACCATTTATTTTGTGAATGAAGAAAGTGATATTAATCTATCTGTCTCTCGACTATTTGAAATAAGTTTACAACATAATGGACCATTTATGCCACTACAGTGGACAAGTTCATGACAATATGTGTGACTGATGCATTTCAGTTACCATTCGACAAACAAAACTGTCACCTGAGCTTCACTACCCCAAATTGGTACATAAACCTATCCATTGCTTCGCAACCTAGCTATTTGTACGATTCCCTTCTTATGGCAGAGTCTGAATGGTCCCTTACGCAAATGACAAGTGATGCCAAAGGTCTTAGAATTGATAGAATTCAATCAATAACCTTGACCCTTGAGAGACAAAGTCTTTTCTACGTGTTAAGCATAATTATTCCAATGGACATAACCTCCACCATGAATGCTTTTGTATTCATCCTTCCTGCAGATTCCGGAGAGAAAGTATCCTTTCTGGTTTCCATCTTTGTGTCACATGCTGTGTTCCTCAACTTTGTCTACGACATCATGCCAAGGACATCCACCAGAGTTCCAAAGATCATGATCTATCTCATCTGTATCCTCCTTCAAAGCTTCCTGGCACTCCTGGCTGTCACAACAACTCTCAGGATCAGGAACAACCAACTCCAGGGAGATCACAAGAGAGTTTCAACTGTGGCAGACAAGACAGGGGGGGATAACTCCACAGAGGTGTCCAAGATGAAAGAAGACTCCACAACTTGGATGCTCAGAAGATGGAGTACATCCTCTTTGTGGTATTTCTATTGATTGCCTTCTTCAACATGGCTGTTTTCATTAAGTAGCCTGTTCCGGTACGCAAACTTGCATTTCACTTAACTGAATCTTCAAAGATGTACATTCAACTCTGCATTTGAGAGATAGAGAATTGATGACCTCCTTCATATTGATTTTGCCTATGTCCATCTGTTTGAACATTCTCGTGAATACATGTACTTCCTTGATACATGCGTGAAAAGTTCCCCATCTTAGTGCAGGAAGGTAGACATGACAAGAAGGAAAACTATACTTTGACTTTGACATGATAAAGGACACCCTTGCCTCTTACTTGGAACATCTTGCTGGGGATAGTTTTTCATTTATCAAACCTCTAGTTGTTGATTAGTATAAATTAGTATTTTCATACCAATGCAAAATGTGAACCCCCTCTAAGGGATGAAGAATTTGGGGAAAATCGTTGTTTTTCAGTTATAACTTGCAGTCATAAATTGAAGAAGCTAACCAGGTTTGTTATTTCAAGTTCATTTATGTGAATTGACATGTTTA